AAGACTGAGTTGGCAAACAGTGCAACAACTCAACAATGTTTCTTAACATAAAATAGCAAAGAATTTTTGCTTTTCATCATCTACGGTACATAATAACGTTAAAAGATTCAGAGAATCTGGAGAAATCTCTGTATGCAAGGGACAAGGCCAAAAACCAGTATTGGCTGGCCATAATCTTCAGGCCCTCAGGTGGCACTGTATTAAAAACAGACATGATTCTGTAGTGGAAATCACCCCATGGGCTCAAACACTTCTGAAAACCACTGTCTGTGAAAACGTTCAAACATTCAAAAGGAGTTTGTTGCTGCATCCACAAATGCAAGTTAAAATGCAAAGAAGGAACCATATGTAAACAGGATCCAGAGATGCTGCCACCTTTTCTGGGCCTGAGCTCATTTAAAATGGACTAAGTGGAAGTGGAAAAGTGTCCTGTGGTCCGACAAATCAACATTTAAGAATTCTTTTTGGAAATCATGGACACAGCGTCCTCCGAGCTAAAGACCACTCAGCTTGTTATCAGTGCACAGTTCAAAAGCCAGTATTCATGATGGTATGGACGTGTATTAGTGACCATGGCATGGGTGACGTGCACATCTGTGAAGGCACCATTAATGCTGAACGATATATACCTGTTTTGGCAACATATGCTGCCATCCAGATAACGTCTTTTTCAGGGAAGGCCTTGCTTATTTCAGCAGGACAGTGTCAAACCACATTATGCATGTATACATGCAGCATGGCTCCGAATTAAGAGTCAAGGTGCTAAACTGAACTGCCTGCAGTCCAGACCTGTAACCCACTGAAAACATTTGGCGCATTATGAAATGAAAAATACGACAAAGGAGACTCTAAACTGTTGACCAGCTGAAATCAATCAAGAATGGGAAAACATTTCACTTTCAAAACTACAGCAGTTGGTCTCCTCAGTTCCCAAACGCTTACGGAATGTTGTTAAAAGAAGAGGTGATGCGGCACAGTGGTAAACATGCCCCCCTCCCAACTTTTTTGAAACGTGTTGCTGGCATCAAATTTGCATATTTTTCAAAAAACAATACAGTTTTTCAGTTTCAACATTTGATATATTGTTTTTGTTGTTTTTTCCTTTAAAAATATGGTGTACATGATTTGAATTTCATTGCATTCTATTTTTATTTACAAACTGCACAGCGTCACAACTTTTTTTGGAAATGGGGTTGTAGTTTGGCTGCCAGAAGCCCCTCTTATAACCATCATACCCTACTCTGTGTCATCATTGTAGCCTTTAAATATGATGGTAAATTCTCATACAGGCCTTTTTTAATTAACCTTTTTGTGTGCATGGTTTGTACTTCATTTCTACCATACAGAGACAGTTTTACAGGAACAGCAGTAAGACTTTGCTGACCGTTCTCGTCCACAAGGTGGTGCACTTGGAGAACTTTTCACATGCCCATTTGCCTCCTTCACCCAGTGCTGTTAATCCTGCTACCTAGTGGTGGATACGATTGATGATTTTTTTTTCAACATTGTTAATAAAGATGTCTAGTTCCTACCTAAGCCCAAAAGACAAGTGTTGTCACTAATATGCAGTCATTTTAGCCAACTAAAGCTGAATATAAATTAAGCTTTCTGACTTGACCAAAATGTACAGTGGGTTTTTAAAAGTTGTGAGAATTACATATTTTGTTTATTTTTGAAGTGAAAAGAAGTAAACACAACCTCTGCAGCATACAATTTTACAACCTGTTCATGTTTTTCTGTTAATGCACAGTTACTTTATGGATGAGTTTTGAATCCAACTCAAGTAGCAGCCCAGCATATATATATAGCATATATATATTTTGACCAAATGCCTAAAAGAACATTTCTGTTTGGTCAGCATGCTCACGGCACACGATAAAACAGTCGGTTATTTGTTAGAGGCTCATTTGTATTGCAATATTTTGCTGTGTTATAGTTATTAAAGCTGATATTGCTCTAATTTTTAACAAACGGTATGTTGTGCATCCCTGTGTGTGACTTGCCATCTGGAGCAGTTGAGCCAAAGCCAGAGTGCTGAGGAGGACACAGGATTTTAACCCCCTGTGCTTTTGCAATGCACCGCACAACACTGAACACCTGTTCATGTATCTTCTTGGTTCTCTTTTTGGTTTTTGAGCAACAAGGCTAACAAAACAGAGCCTACTTACAGAGAGATAGCCTCTTTAGTTCATAACAGGGCTACAGAATATGTTGTGTGTTACTTATTATTGTATTGTTGACCTTTGCAGTAGTGGTATTACTGAAGGTTTCAATATGCACATGTACTCTCTCTGTGTTTCTGTAAGTGAATCAGGGTATTCAGGTACAAAAACAATATACTTTTGGTTAAATTGATACAACACTGTCAGGATTTCACCAGGGTGTTTTTTTTTATATAGAGCAAGGCATATCATTATTGGCGTATGTTGCCGCAGAATTGCGCTATGGTGGAGCTGGGCAACATCGGCAAAAATGTTATCACAATAAAAAAAATTCCATATCAGTCGATATCTGTATATATTGCGATAAATGTAAGATCATTATTTCTTTCAAGTTTGAAGGCTGATTTTTGCTCCTGAGTGGTTAATTGCTGTTTTAAACTATCCTCGGAACTTGACAAACACTTGCCAAACTTTGGAACATTTTCACAAATCTGTCATAGGATAGTGGGAGAAAGTTTCTGGTTAGCTGTTTTTACCAGCTGGAAAAGCATGGCTGCGATTTTTGTAATAGTCATAATTTAAGAAAGAAAGTGCTAAACTGTTTAGTTTCTCAACAGCATCAGCTTAGTACAGTAGGTCAATGATGGATCACACCAGCTTACTGCCATCATTCCTACCACATCCATGTCAGAGCATATCACAGTATTGAAACACCAGCTAGCAGACGTCTGAAATTCTCTATTCTGTCGTAGTAGTTTGAGGGGTGAACCGTAATATATCTGACACTTGCTGTGTACAAGCATTAACTGCAGTGTGATTCTCTCATAGCAAACCTTTGAGGTACATGTAAACTGAAATCTGCGCTTTTTTTGTCTTGATCTGCAGTAACATCAATTCGGCCATGCTGTGCGAGTGACAGAGCGCTGCTTCAAGATAGCCAGCTGCTAAAAACAGCTAGGCTGGGAAGCTAGCGTTCTCCCAATCTCCAGTGCCACACATACAGCATCCTCAGTTTACTTTTGTTTAAATCGGGCTGTAACTTGCATGAACCCATTTCTTTTTTTCACTTTTGTTGCTTGGGAATGCATTAATACTAAAATATGAGAGCTGTAAAACAGTGCTGTAGTTGTGTGGAGCAGACGTGATTTAACGCTGCTAAAGCTTGTTAGGATGTTAGGATAGAGGTGTGTTCGCTCTAGGACAGTATAATTACACCACTTATCTTGTCACTCACTCTTGGTCACAGGAGAACAGATCGCAGATTGCTCCACTCAAGGTTTTAAATATTGTATTACTTTTATGTTTCTGTGTGTGTCTACTTTTAGTCAGAAATTAGTTGGACGTAACCTTAAAGACCCCTGCATTCACAAATGTGGTTTTTATCTGGTAACTCCTCTGGCACTCTTGACTCCTCTAGCACTTAATGTTTGAGATGTTTGGATTGAGCAGTTAGCTAAAATAGATAAGTGATGGTAGTGGGTGGTATAAATGTTAATCCTTAGGTATGAGTTTTGTAAGCAAAAAATAAGCTCAGATAATGCGACAAAATGCGACACTGCATAGCCCACTAAAGTTAGTCTGTTTAGCTGAATGGCTGAGTCAAGGTTGTTTTTCATTTTTCAAATTAATATGAAAACCCAGCAGTCCACATCTATCTAAAGTCCTTTGTTTATTAGGCAGGGGACATAAAGGAATGACATTCCATGTAAGTAAGCCTTAGCCTAACAAGGACACCAGAGCACCTGCCCAGCTTCTGTTTCCTCTCATGCCACCTGAGGAGCCGCCTGACTGCGCCAGCTGAGTCTTGGGCACAAGCTGGTGCTAAAGCATGAAGGCTGTAATATTTTTTTTAAATTCCAGCAGTGTGCGACAGGTGGAGACACGAGTGTATGGGGCGCACGTACAAGACCAGTGACTTGAGAAATGTGACGTAGCTGAAGGTGGCTACTTATTTGAATTTCATATTCCACCTTAAATGACGCAGCGGTTACTTTCAGGGACCTGTACAGGCATTAGAATGTATCTGTGGCTCCTTTTAAGGCGGAATGGAAAATTAGAGCTAAAGGCTGCCGAATAAGAAGCCAGTGAAATAAAATTGACATAGGTTTACTTAAGCATCTAAAATGTTTTTATTTGTGTGATATATGTGTGTGTGTGTTGAGAAATGCTGAGAGCGTGCTTTACACATACAAAAAAAACCTCTAATTGATAAAATATTTTCCCACGCATCTTCTCGCATCGTGTGTTTTCTTTTTTAAAAAATCATTATAGTAATGATATATCTAAATCATTTTAACATGAAACACATTTTTGTCCATATCACCCACTTTTTTAATTAATACAGTGTCAAATTTTTGTTCCATGTCTATCTAATAAACTATCAAATATGGTGTGTAGAGCTGTCCTAGTAACAGGGAGTGATAGCTTAGCATGCTACAGCTTCAAACACCAAAGCACATTTGATCCTGGCTCAGTGAAGCTTTATTGGCTTACGTTTAGAGGTTAGAGGCTTAAATCTGAGGAGTGAACCTATGTTTTTGTGAGTGGAGCTGTTAGATAAGCTATTCTTGTTCCGATACATTGTCCTTGTTTGCACTAGAACTGGCATTAGTTTAGTGAGCAGGCTAGAACAGCTTCACTGAGGTGAGTTTAGAGGATAAAGACTCAAATCTGAGGGAGTTAAGTCAAGTGACTGATTTTAGAGTGACACAAGGACAGAATCTGTTTTGTAGTTTAATGATTTTTTTTTGTGGCTTAAATTATGATGTTGTAGTTCTAATTAGGTTCTGTTTTCTGAATTCTGTAGTCTGATGATTTACCTTATTGTGCCATAACCAGGTCTGTGTACGATGACCAACCTAATGCACACAAGAGGTTTATGGAGAAGCTTGATGCCAGAATACGAAACCATGACAGGGAGATTGAGAAGATGTGCAACTTTCACCATCAGGGTTTCGTCGACGCCATCACAGAGCTCCTCAAAGTCCGTGCAGATGCAGAGAAATTGATGGTAAGCACCTCAGTGGATTTTTACACTACTTGACAAAAAGTACTGAGGCATTCAGTATGCAGTTCACAGCCAATATCTCTCACTTTGTAGGTTTACGGTTACTGACTTTAGCTTGTCTGTTGCTGCACAATTTGAGAGAGTAGAAAATCAAGCTCCAACAGTTCGCAGGTGTTTCTGTCCATCCTTCCACTGTGAGAAGACACTCAACGCTATGGGTCTGAAAGGATGTTTAGCTGCCAATAAGCTGTTGAAAAGCAACTAAGAAAGGGAAATTTGTAATAGAACACAGAACAGCTGGGATGTGGAGAAATGTTTTATGAACTGATGAGTCTAAATTAGCAACTAGGATTACTTGTATTGAGAAAAGCAGAAAATACAACCAGCATCTAAGACTGAACTTTGGAGGTGTGAATAAATATCCTTGCAGATTTCTTTGAAAAACTGAAACCAGGTATCCTGAAAAGAATGGAAGCTGCAATGAAGGATAAGGGTTAACACACTATATACTGAAAAAGCTTATGTTATATCATTATATTATTTGTTTTTCGGTTAAACACGTTCTCTGAAAAATAAATAACTTGCACGTATTGGCTGTTTTGAGTGACAATTAAATATTCCAGTCATTTGTACACCCCATGTAGGTTCCACTGAAGCTTGTGACGTATGTTGTATATGAAATTGAGATCTTAATGTGTGCTTTGTTGGCAGTAGAGGAAGTAGTTGAAAATGTGCCAAAGCAGTGAAGCATTGAAATACCACTAAAATAAAATAAAAGATAAGTAATCATCTGTTCACTGTTTAATTAGTGTGTACTTGTTTTACAAAAGCAGTTGTAAAACATTTTAAAGAGGTTTTTGCCGGTCTTGTAATCTCGATCAGCGAAATACAGCATCTATTTAGCGTTCATGAGAAGTCGCTTTTCATCAGTGCTTGGAAGGAATTGCGCAGTTATCTGCGGCCGAATCACAGGCCAATTCTCTTTAGCTCCCTTTACACTTCATAGAGTGTGCACCAAATGGTGCAGGAGTGGCTCACCAAAGGTTTTAATTAGACCAACATTATATAAAGCATATTCAGATAACAAGAGACATCAATGAGGTCGCTGAGCTGTCTTTGTCTGAGCATTAATGAGATTTTTAATAAACCCCAAAATGTGTTTCCTTTTTACGATGACCTAATGAGACTTCCTATGTGGGAAAGTCTGTGGCCGTGCAGTCCCTGCACCTGCACCACTGTACTGGTGCACTGTTGTGGAGGTCTCCACATTGGATGTTAATCAACCACCCAGTGTTTGTATTCAGCAAAAAATGAATGTTTAATTACCAGAAAATGCTATCCGCTTTTTGCCCCAGACAATGAATGGCACATAGAGCTCATTGAGGTTATCAACAAGGGACCAGTGGTCAATTGGGTCATTGATTTGAATTGTTTGACAGACCCGGAGGAACAAGTAAAGTTCAAAAATCCCAAGTAGAATTGAGAAGTTTGTCACAGAATCTGTTAGAAAGGGCTGTCATAAGCGATTACCGCGCTTAAAAGCTCACCGCTGACCAAAATTTCAAGTTCCCGCTGCACATTTAATTTGAATTTGCGCCCCTTTGTTCCTGACTCCTCATGAAGCATGATCTGATTACAAGGGTGAGCAGTTACAACAGGGAATTGTGGGCTTATTTGTCTAACAAAAGTGATATTATGTTTTTAGGGCCAAGTGACCGACACCAATCGAAGACTTCAAGATGCCGGACGAGAGGTACGGTTCGGTCTGGATTTGTGAACACGTCTGCCATTAGAACTGCAAAGAATGATTGGACAATAGTGTAGAGTGAAATGTCTTGTTAATTGCGAGGGCTGTGCACTCTTTGACCTTCCCTTATGTAAGGTGACAGCCCAAACGGAGGAGGTCATTCGCTGCAGGATTCAGCAGAGGAACATGGCCACCACTGTGGAGAAACTACAGCTATGTATTCCGGGTAAGACTTAGAACGTTAAAGAAAAAGACATGTTTGTTGTCTCAAGTTTGTACTAGAGCTATGACGCTAATGTAGCTAAAGGTTATTGGAAATGCAATTGATGAGGTACACAATTGTGTAGACTGCATGCCTAAATTATCACACACTTGCCTCAGTGTGCAATGTTGAATTCATCTAAGATGGATTTAGGATGATATGGTTTATCTGGTTAAACTGTTATCTATGAGAAGGACACAGTGTCCCTGATGCAAAGCACCACTCTTATGAAGTGAGCGAGCGAGTGGGTGAGTGAATTGCTTACTTAGGGACGGATGGGCTGACTGACTTAATTGCACTTAATTTCTCGTTCACTCACTCAATTGCTCGCTCACTCACTCACTCACTCATTTGCTTTCTCACTCACTCAATTGCTGACTCACCCAATTAGTCACTCGATTGCTCTCTCACTCAACTGCTCACTCACTCACACACTGAATTACTCAATTCCTCACTCTCTCAATTGCTCACTCGCTTGTTCACTCACTCAGTTGCTCGCTCACTCTCACTCAGTTGCTCACTCTCACTCAGCGGCTCACTTTCTCACTCAGCTGCTCACTCTCACTCAGCTGCTCACTCTCACTCAATTGCTCACCCTCTCACTCAATTGCTCACTCATGCTCAATTACTCACTTATTCAGTTGCTCACTCGCTCACTCACTCCGTTGCTCACTTGCTCACTCGCTCACTCACTCAGTTGCTCACTCACTCAGTTGCTCACTCACTCAGTTGCTCACTCGTTCATGCACTCACTCAGTTTGTCACTCACTCGTTCATGCGCTCACTCACTCAGTTGCTCACTCACACACTTGCTCACTCACTCACTCGCTCAATTGCTCACTCACTGACTATATTGCTCAATCACTTATTGACTGACTGACTGACTGACTAACTGATTCATTGATTTCTACTTGTTGGTTTCGATGTGTTTAATTTTGATCTCCTGAGGTGATCTCCAGGGTGAGTGGGTTGGTCGGTGGGTGGGTCCATAAGGTGCATTGTATCTATGGACAAAAATGCAGATAGTATTCAGGCTTCCGCAATGCATGTTGGTGTACATAAGCTTCCAATACTTGTTAGCTACTTTGTGGCTCCAGTGCAGAGGAAACAGACATCAAACAGCAAACACGTCTTATTAAGATAATAATTAACTGCACTGGGGTAAGAGGGAAATTGTATTTAGATTTTTTGCCCAGCTGTTCCCACACAATTAGGATCGTTCACCCCTGAATTTTGTAATTCTTTTTTCTTAGGGAAAGATATGCTCTGTGGTCAAAACTCAAAAATTACTTAAAATCTGTAAACGTTTGTTTACAGTGATCCTTTTGATCAGTCTTGAATAATAAACAAGCCATCACACATACAACTCCATTTCCAAAAAAGTTGGGACGCTGTGCAGAATGTATCAAATAAACCAATTTTTTAAAGGAAAAAACAACAAAGACAACATAGCAGATGTTGAAACTGAGAAATTGTATCGCTTTTTTGAAAAATATATGCCCGTTTTGAATTTGATGCCAACAACACGTTTCAAAAATGTTGGGATGGGGGCATGTCTACCACTGTGTTTCATCACCTCTTCTTTTAACAACACTCTGTAAGCGTTTGGGAACTGAGGAGACCAATGTTGAAAAGCAAAAGTTCATTGCTGTTTTACATTGAGAAACATTATTCTTGAACTGTTGCACTACTTGCTCGTGCAGTCTTTCACGGAGTGGTGAACCCCTCCACATGTTAACTTCTGAAAGACTCAGCCTCTCTGGGATGCTCTTATTATACTCAATCACGTTATTGACCTGTTGCCAATTAACCACCAGGTGTTTCATTACACAACTTTACCAGCCACCATCCCAGCTTTTTTGGAATGTGTTGTAGGCCTCAAATTCAAAATGGGCATATATTTTTTACAAAAACAATATATTTTCTCAGTTTCAACATTTGATATGTTGTCTTTATACTATTTTCAATGAAATATAGGGTTTAAATGATTTGCATATAATTGCATTTTGTTTTTATTTACATTTTGCACAGGGTCCCAACCTTTTTCGAAACGGGGTTGTATTAGGCAATGAACAAATACAGTATTGAGTAAATATTTGATATATGATTTGATGTATTAACCAAGTTGTTTCTTGTTTTGGGCTTTTTTATTCATAGTATTTAAAATAAAAGATCTAGATTTACAACTGGATATTCCATGAGGACTGAACTTTATACATGGTGTAATGTTGACTGACTTTTCTTGTATGTGTTGTTTTGCTCTGTTTTGTCCCCCATTTTCTTGTCACAGTTCTGGAAATGTACAGCAAATTGAAGGAACAGCTTGAATCCAAAAGGTAACAGGCCATTATTATAAATATTTAAAGTTCAAGAGCATTTGATCTTTCAAATCATGAGTCTGTTGGAATCATGTTGCTTTACTTCTGTGAAAAACAAGCTAAAGATTTGAAGCTCTGTTCATGGAAATCGGTGCCTTCGTTGAAGAGGCAGGAGGTCAGTATGGGGTCACGCTGAACCTGAAAATAATGACCCTTTTTGTCCATCAACGTCGTCTCAGCTGGTCATAACACATCATAAATGAGTGAACTGTTCAAATGCAAAGACAATTGACCTTCTTCACAGCACTGGCCCACACCGGTGCACCCATCACAGGCCTCCTCCAAATGGAGGCAATTAGCGCAATGTGTCCCTCCATTAATCTGTGGGTCACCCCTGCTTGCTAATGACTGGGCCAGGACATGGTCTAATCAGGCAGGGATTCTTTCATAGTTCACATGTAACACTTGCTGGAAAGGGCACCACACTAGCCCTCCACAGGACCACATGCACACTTCAGCTGAGCAAACTCAAGGGCATCAACATTTTGAGTAGGAGACATTAGTAAATGGTGGGGGTAGCAGCTATTTTAATATTTATTTCTTTAAATAGTTTTTGAATGTTATATTGTTATTAAAAAATACACAGAAGGTCCAAAATTTGTTTATAGCATACAAGGTGATCCATGCCTGATCATTCTGCTTATTTAGTGATTAGTGATCTGTGTGTATTAGGTGTCTGATTTAACATGCCACCAGTTGACCTACAGTATGATAACATACACAACTTACTTCGTTCAACTTTGTACATTTAATTTAAAATCTTTTCATATACTTCATTACTATTTTTGTTATTTTATATTCAGTAATAACTTTTGGTACATGTCCATTTGCAACTTCGCCTAGCCACATCGTATTCATTCCAATGGAGAGATCTGCTGCATCGTGCGGTGCATGATGGTTTGTGATGTGACAAAATCTGCTTTGCCTCATGGCCTAAAAGTTCAGCAGAATTAAATTTTATGCATGTAAAAAGTGGGAGTGGGAATCTCTAGGCACCTCAAGATTCGATTACGATTCGGAGGGCTGCGATGCGATTATAAAGCGATTATCGATGCATCTTGAGGCATCTTTTTTTTTTCTATACAGGATTTCTTTTTTTCTCACTGTGTGACGAGTTGGAACTTTTAAAGCAAAGTATTTGTAATAGTCCACAATGAATTTACTTCCAATATCTTTTATTAATAAATCAAATGGAAGCGATATGGCAACTCAACTGGAAGACTCATTCACTGCTCTTGTTTGCAGCACATGAGATGCAGGCTGCCACTCATCTGCAATAAAATCGCGGTTACGGTGTAATAAGATTCTGTGGCAATGGATGTCCATGCAGCAGATTACAGCTATTCTACCCGTTTTCTTCAGTGATTTCATAACTTCGGTTTTGGTCTCGTTGTAGAGAGTGGGGGGATCGCTTTGTCAGTAAAATATCTTCGAGACGGGACGCTGTGTCTCGGCTCCAATGTGTCCAACATAGCGCAAAAGCCCTGGTTCTCAACGACTGAGTACGGATGCAAATCCTTGGCAGTAAAAGTTGCGATAGAGTTTGTAGTTCGCTTCATCCTTTTCGATTTGGGTGGAAGCTTTGACATCATTTGATCGATGGTCCTCCGGTTGGCAGCAACTACAACCGAGCGGAAAATGGGTGGAAACATGTAATAAGCTCCACAGAAGCCAAAGTGCTTCCATACGCCAACTCAGGGGTCGGCAACCTGCGGCTCTTTTACTGGCCTGGTGTGGCTCCACGTCAGAGTTAGATTTCTAGGTAAAAATAAAATAATCCTCATTTGCAGTAAAATAAAGCTCTGGTGATCGTTCAAACACAGTTTCAACAATAAATGATCTTAAACTCTAGAATTAATGTAGCCTATAACTGCTAGTTCACCTAGCTAGTAGCTAATGAACAGGCAAGGAGAAAGATTTAGGACAAACATCCATAATTTGGAGACGAATATACTTATAAAAGCGGCTACAGCTGAGCTAAAGCTTGAAGCAGAGCAAAGTAAGTCTGCGTTTTTGTTTGTATTATATTTTTACCCTACACTAGGACATTAGCACATACTGATACTCATGTACAGCCAAGATGGTAAAATAGACATGAAGTGTTGTGGTTCCCAAGGTGGTTTGATTTTTGTTGAAAGTACAAAATGACTCTTATTACCATTTGGGTTGCCGGCCCCTGCACTAGCTTTTAATGTAGTGTGCACGCCACAGACTGTCCGGGCGCTGCACTTCCGTACTTTGCAAAGTTCCGCCTTTTGCGTTCCGTCAACATTACGTTATCAATTAAAATTTAGAAAATCGATTTTTGACATTTGTGAATCGATTCAGAATCATCCACGTCCGCATCGCGATGCATCTAAGAATCTATTCCCCCCCCCCACCCCTAACGTGAATGCAGCTCCTGCGTTGTGTTTAGTCAACTAGGCAACCACAGACTGGTCTTCATCACAAATGGCAAGCATAACTGTCTTTCTCTTCTTTAAATCCATAAGAGTTTTACATAATAATGAAAATAGCTGGTTTCATACAGAACTATTGGATTTGGAGGGGAGTATCTAAACCTGGATTAATCACAGTCTAAGTATCTAAACCTGGATTAATCCCAGCCTGAGAATCTGAATCTGGATTAACCACATTATAATTAATGTGGGTTTTAATTGTCCAGTGCTGTCCAGATGCTTTTCTTTCTACTCTGGATCACTGGCTAGCTGCTCTCCACTGCATTTATTTCTGACAATAAATGACATTGGTCTGGCTTTCATTTACATTGCAAAGAATTAAAAAAAAATAACAAATATATTAGCTGTCTTATTTAAAGTTGTTTTATGACACATGCAACAACTATTTTGCATAATAACTATTGTAAGTAATAAATAAAGTATCTGTTGTAGTACCTTAACCTGTAGTACCTGTTTACCCTTTTACTTATAATCTCCATAGAGAAGTGAATTGTAATAAGGAACTCTGTACCCTTCATGAGTCAGTCATGTATGGCATGGGATTTCATTTAGCACTCCTCAGATAAGCCCAAGAGAGTCATATTCCAGGGAATACTGCTCTGGTGGAAAATCTGGCTTAAATGACATTTAATCAATAATTAAAAGCAGCTTTGGATCTGAAATAGGCCGTTGCTGTCTGTAACCTGGCTGTAATAAACTGCCTCTAGGAAACCTGAGCTCACTGTTGTAAATAGACTATATGTAATATATGTAATGTTGCTTGCACAGACCCCCAGTTTTGTTGATACATGAAGTAAAAAAACTGACAAACCTATCTTTTAACGTGTTTGGCCTGCTGTATTTTTGCGGAAAGCCAAAAATGGGTATAGCTTATAACAGAAATGGCTATGAGGTGCTGGATGTGGGTGTGGCTTAAAGCAGAAATGAGTGTGAGGTGCTAGAAGTTGATGTGGCCTACAGCAGATATGCACGTGAGGTGCCAGACGTGGGTGTGGCTTAAATCAGAAAATCAAATGCAAAAAATATTCTTTACTTACTGCAAAAAACATGTTGTTGGGGCTGTAACAATACAAAATTCTGAATTTGATTTTAAACAGTACAGGGGTATCTTGATTCGATACATTTATTGATGCAGATAAAATAGGAGTGGCTTCAATGTTCTTATTAATATGTTAATATTTCCTATCACCGATTGTTCAAGCATTTAACGTTATAAAAGTGCGATATATGTAACAAAAGCTGTCTCCTGGTCTAACTCTTTTTGCCACAAGCTAATATGTTGGCCTCAAGCTAACATGCTCGTCACAATACAATGATACGATATGCTGCGATACAACTGGATACAATATAATATGCTGTATTTTCCACCCCAGAACACAAGATATTGCTCATTTGGACGTTGTGTAAAATTTAGGGTGTAAATCTTTATTTGCCATAAAAACATCAGTAAAGTGTTTATTCTACATACCAGATACTATGCTGCACTGAAAACCATGGAGCAACTGGAAAACATTTACATCCCCAGAGTGAGCCAGTATCGCTTTTGCCAAATCATGGCTGAGACACTCCCTAAACTTCGTGAGGAGATCAAGGAAATCTCCATGTCAGACCTGAAGGACTTCCTGGAGAGTATCCGAAAGCACTCCGATAAGATTGGTGAAACAGCGATGAGACAGGTAAGTCTAAACCAAAAAAAACTGACACCTAGGAGCATTCTTTGTGAGTTTTGTGTTTGGGAAGAGGCAGCCCAGCATATTACATGTGGGGAAAACTGAGCAGCATATCAGCAAGAATGGATCTAGAGGATTCTTCAGAAGCCCATATGCACAAATTCATTGCCATTTGGTGAAATATGCTGTTTTTAATGCTAAAAATGCCATTCATCTGAGTTGTGTAGGTTTGAAAAGTTTTAGCAGAGAATACTCAGAGAGAATCTCACATGTCCACCAAACACACAGCAGCAGCTCACAGTCATTATTCAGTCAACCCACAGATGTAGTATTTCATTTTTATAGGCTGATCAGTACCATTACTGAAACCTGAAAAGAGACATGTTTCGTGAGCAGTGTAGTTGGTTTGATGTTCACATATTCAAATTTCTTTCTTCAGTAACTTTGGAATAGTGGAAGAAAAGTTAAAATGTACGTTATCACCAGTAGCAACCAAGACAACCAGTTTCCATTTATTTTGTGTCTGAAATGAATGTAGAGCATGTTGATTTCTGTGCTCTGGAACTGCTATGAGAGCGTAGCGACCGACTACAAATCACAGCACAAATGCTGATCATTGGGGTCCAAGCACTGTGCGCCTTGTGGTCTCTTTAGTATGCAAATCATGAAGTTTTTAGAATGACCTCGATTTTAATATAGATTTGGCCTCAAAAGATGATGTCTGCCAAGTTAAGTACATGTTGGTCTTTTGACTAATATGTACTTAAGCAACAGATTTTTAACAGATTAAAATATCTAGAAAACTTTGGACGTAATTTGTGTTTGTATTGTTGTTAAACTCAGTGAACTGTATAATTCCACAGCAATTACCTCTATGTTTTAGTCTCAAAATGCACCAGAATTTCATATTAAAAACAAAAAAAATGTATCGCAGAAATGATGCAGCTGGACCCCACTACAGGGGGTTACCCTTTTCACTGTTCATAAGTTTTAATGTCTGGAAACATTAGCATTGATAAAATTTGATATTAAGTACTTTTCAGCAGACACTATTGTTTTGGTGGACTTCTCCTGACACAGGCCCAGCAGCACAGGACGTTCATCAGTGCCGTTCAGAAGCAGGCGAGCCTGGGCTGTGCTAAACCTTTGTACAGTCTGAATGGCAGAACAACCCTCCAGCACAATGGGCTGGTCGCGGAGGACACAGCTGAAGAAGAGGAGGCTGACGATGAAGTATGGGGCCTGGTGCTTTTTGTAGTTTTAAAGTAGTAAACACATTAATCAAAAAATATAAATGGATTTCGCTGACAGCTAATGTAAATTTTTTTTAATGAGCAGAGAAATGCCCTATTTAAGTCTGTTCGCTGTAGACTGTAACTGATGTATTTGTGGGTAGCATAGTGGTTGTAGTAAAACATTTTAAATGCACAAAAAAGGCAGTTTATTTCTTATTGGTATCAATATCAGCCACGACAAGCTGTTAATTGTCAGTTATCGTTATTGACTGAGAAATTCCATATCAGTCTCTATTGTAGTGCTATTGTAAAATCCTTCTGCATTAACTGACTGGGATCTTACTGTATGTCTTTGATTCTCCTGTTAAGGTTTTAACAGCGCAGGATCTGGTGGACTTCTCTCCTGTGTACCGATGTCTTCACATCTACACTGTACTGGTACGTAGCACCGGCTTGGTTATACTAACTACCGCATTCCGATCATAGCGAAGGCAGCACACTATGTGTTATGAACACCATTTGTTGTACAGTGCTGTGTACATATGAAAGTCTGTTTGGGTTGTTATGAAGTGCGAAATATTGCTCCTTGTTATTTTTTTCCTCCTTTTTTTTCCATTGAGAAACATTCCTGCAGGGCGCTCTGCTCAGTTGTCATCTTTCTGAGTTGACAGTGTGTTATCAGTGAAACGCTTCTCTCCCAAGTGGCTCACCAAACATTAATAGCTTATATAAGCAGGGGGATTTCCATAGTTTTGACTGACATGCCATCACTATTATGTCTCTTATAAACCAAAGGCAAACTGTGTGGCGTTCAGAGCGAGCTTGTTAGCACTTTGTTGCGCTCTACCATCGCTCATCTGCTGAGGACATAATCCTGTGTCCTTAAACGCGGCTAAAAGGAGAAGGGGGTGTGGGGGGAGACTCCAGCGTCTAATAGGATTGACCGAGCGGTAACCCCCTTTCGTTGTAAAAACAAAACAGAAAGAAAGGGCTGATCTTTGGGCATTCATATTGCGCACGAACTTCGCGTTCATTGGGCGGAGGATGAGTCAATGGCGCGCGGTTGGCCCCGAATAGCTCGGTTAATGAGAACACAGGGGCTTTCGACCACAGCGCTGCCCCACTGCTCACACACACACACACACCACAGAACCAGGGAGAAATGGTTAGCTAAGTGTTTGGGAAAAGATTGGCAGATTTGAAGTGAAGAGGATATGGAAAAGTAAGCGAGCTATGTGAGTTTTTTATATATCTGCGTAATAACTATCATGAAAAGGTAAACATACTACTCGGGGTGGTTTGATGTGAAATGCTCTGTTGTTGCCAAATCAGAAATGTTCACAGTGGTGGTGATGGGAATCAGACGAGTGTTTGATGCCTGTAAGAACTTCCTTTCACAAAAAGTTAGGCTCCTGTCACCACCACTGTAAACAATTCCGAGACAATAACGTTCTCCAGAATAGCTCATTTCACATTAAACCTCTCTCAATGAGTGCTGATGGTGCAGAAATGGTGAAAATCAATGAAATTATGCTTTAATGTGTTTCACACATTTAAAAGTCCCTTTATTTTACTTTTTGTGAATACTGCATAAATTGTCTTATTCTGTAAATACTGGAAGCACTCTACAAATAAATTTGAACTCCTCCATGTGATTTTGATTATGCAGTAATATACATTACATGCTTTCTCTTTTAGGGAGACAGAGAGACATTTGAAAATTACTACAGAAAGCAAAGAAAAAAACAAGCAAGGTTGGTGCTGCAGCCCCAGTCAAACATGGTGAGTCTTTTCCCTCTTTTAAAGAATACTGCCATTGTTTTAGTGATTCTTGTTGATTTTTTTTTTCTTTTCTAGCACGAAACAGTAGAGGGCTACCGAAAGTACTTCAACCAGGTCGTTGGGTAGGTTTTAATGGCTGATGCAACTGCTCTGATGAAGTAGTAGGCTGCCGTAGGCCATGTGTTGAAGCGGCTTTATTGTGTGGTAGGCGTATTGTTATTGTTGTGGATGACCTTGACCTTGACCAGCCTCAAGTGGCTTCCTGCTCTCATAAAACAGTGACAAAATATTATATTATATATAAAAAAACATAGTATGAGTTTATTAATTATTGCAATAAACCATTCTTCTACCAAGCGACATAGTTTGTTAAAAGGAAATTTCTCCATAACTAAGTCATTAAGGTGTTAACGCAGTCATGCAGAATGCTATGGGGTGAAATATTCCGTTCTAGAGAATCTAGAGTCACTGAGTTGATCGCAGTGGCGGTGATAGGAACCAGACACCTGAAGTGTTTAATGCCTCTGAAAGCTACTTCCCAGAAAGTTATTACATGAAATGGTTAGGAATACATAGCCTGATGCCTGAGACATTGTATTCCGAAAGTTTTGAGAGGGTCTTGGCCTAAAATGAATTTATTTAACATACATTCATGGTGGTGAGGTACAGTCATATGCAAAAGACTGAACAAACTTAAATATGGCACATATTTTGCTAATTTTTAATTAATTTTGCACAGTTTCTATTTGTTTGCTGATGTTCACATGTTGAGTGTTAAAATTAATATATCAATATACTAATATAGACATATTAAATGTACTGTAACTTTTGTGCGGGCATACGTTTTAAATTCAGCCACTAAACAGTAAATGTGCATTGAATTGTGCACGTTTTTCCCTGTAGAGGGTTTGTTGACTTATTTTGACTAAGAAAATCAACAAAACATGCCATTTGATTGGGGCGGCCAAACTTTTGCACACAAATGTACAAGCAGGGCATTGTAAGGCAAAATAGTACCAAAAGAAAACTTATTTCTTCAGATGTAATGCTATTTTACCATTAACAACAATACATATACAATTCTGAAGACACATGTAGGTTCACTGCTTGTTTTGTAAATAAAATTCCACTTCAAACATTGCAACATGGTTCCTATCACCAGCACCGAGTTTCTCTAGAACTGAGCATTTCACATCAAACCACTCTGAATGACTGTTATCTTAACAATTTTATTATGCAGATATTTTAAATATCAGTGCAGTTTCCCTTTAAAAGTAGGCTATTATTGCCAAGCAGTATAATGATTGAAGATTTTTCATGAACAGTATTATGATTTATACTAATGTGCCATGTTCATGTAGAATTTTTGTATATACTGCTTTTGCATACAGTTGAATGCAAAAGACTGAACAAGCTTAAATATGGCAATATTCTGATCAGATTGTTGAACAAGATCAGTTGGCTTTATAAAGAACTGTTTAATGGAATCACTGACATCAGCACTGCACATTTTTGCAGGTTTTTTGTGGTGGAGGACCACATATTACACGCCACGCAAGGCTTGGTGACTAGAGCGTTCACTGACGAGCTGTGGAACATGGCCCTGTCCAAAATCATCGCTGTTCTCCGAACACACTCAGTGAGTAGCAAGCACACATGCACAAGGTGGCTCCATGCTGGAAAGCAAGGAGCTGTGATGCAAGGATTTTGAAGGCCCCCTCACTGATCTCCCTGTATTACCTCCACTGCCTGGGCCAGAGTCCCTCTCTTTTTGTGATTGAAGTTAGCTAGCAGCGGGAGTGGCCCGGCTTGAACCTTTTGTTTGGGCCACTGGACCCAGGCTGTGAGCCGCAGCCACAGGGCATTTGCATAATCCCTCACTGATTTACAACTGACTGGGCCCTCCAAACACACTCTTAGCCCCAGCGGTTTAGAATATTCACAGTTAATCTGCTGTTATTGTTGCAATCTGTCCTCATTAGGCCAACTGACCTCTCCATTAGATCAGATTGAATAGATCGCCACTGAAAGGGCTCACCAGGAAATGGAGCAATTATCATTCCGAATGTCTTGTTTTGAAAATAAACTTCACAAAAAAGACCAGGGGGACTAAAGCCTTCTTTGCTCCGGACCTGTGGGTTTACAAAAGTCAGATAGTATTTTTGGGGGAGATATTTGTAAAGGCCAAGTAAAGGAATGCAGAATTCCAACTACATATCATCATTTAACAATATATGAACTGTGCATATGTGTGTGTGCATGTGTGCATGTGTGTGTGTGTCTGTGTGTGTGGTGTGCATGGTGTGCATGTGTATATATAAAATAACAAAGGAGTATATGCAATATTTTTAGGTCACATTGTGACCAGATGTGATGCTGAACATCCTAAGGCCTTTGTACAAAAAAGATTTGTTTTGTTTTTTTTAATCTTACCCTTCCATTTCAGGTTCAGACCACTCTTTCTGATCTTCTCATCGGAGGCTTTTGTGCAAACTTGTGGTGTCCCTTGCCATCTTGAGTGCACACTATCATTGGCTATGTTTACATGCAAAGATTTTTGCCAATCCGATTGAATACAATCGGATTACAGACTCAGACTGTGGTGTTTATATGCACACTCTATTCAACAATTTGATGGAAAATCTTTGTTTACATGCTCACTACAAGTAATCTGATACAAAATGATGCGCATGCGTGGAGTAGCACTGGAGTAAACGTTACCATGACAGCGAACATCATGTGAGGTCCAGTCCGAGTGAGATGAGTTTCCAGTTGGCGCGCTTGTGTTTTTAATTGCTTTAAAATGATGTCAGACTCAGGAAAACGTGCTTCACATGTCCTTATTAAAGAAGTTCTGAGACACATAAGCCGGTTGCCCGTCCCACTGCCGTCTTTTAAAGCTTAAACTTCGTCTCCTCTGCAGACCAGTTTCTGCACCGCCATGTTGAACGTTATAAACTTTTGCTATGACGCGACGCACATGCACAGAATGTATTTACACATTCTGATTGGAATGTAATCAGATACAGGCGTTTACATGGTTATTATTCTTCTATTTAACAGATTATTTAGAAGTTTACCCACCTCGTTCAATCGGATAGAAATTGTATTCCGAATGGCCTCGATCAGACTAGACTATTCCGATTGAGGTGTTTACATGGATGTATTCTATTCCGATTGAGCTATTAGTCGGATTATTAACAGATTATTAGGCTGCATGTAAACGTGGCTATTGAAGCAAAAGTGTCACCGAATACAAAAAAATCTGAAATTTCTGTTAAAATTTCAAGATTGTACTTCTCACCCAGATTTGTATGCCAAATGAATTTGAAAGGAATGCAAATTTTACAAGTGGTCTCAGACTTTTGGACCCCACTGTGTATGTGTGTGTGTCTGTATATAGTGACATTTTTATTTGAAAACAATAGCTGTCTTATAATTAGTGTGACTATAATTATTAAAAATTGTCCAAATTGAATTTAAAGTAAAAGGTTGCTGCATTAGTGCATGAGAGTGTGACTCAGCACAGATGTGTAAAAAGAGAGTGAAAGTGTGTCTTGTGTGTGTGTGTTTGGCTGTTTAAACGCTGCAAGGTGCGCTGACTGAGGTGTGGACTGACACTGTGTGTCACAGTTTGGGTGACGTTCATTTAGCGCTGTGATTTACACACTCGCTGGCTGCTTTCAGAGGCAGGCCACTGCTCCCTATGTCAATGTTTAACAAGGAGACCACACTAGAGGACGTGATCATAAATCACATCAGCAGCACCCTTACAGCCTGCCTCTCCATTCGCTACCAGCATGCCAGTCTGATGGCTCACTCCTTCACTTTATACACTGATACACCTCCAAAGAGACATTTAAATGGGAATTCCACAGATTTTTAAAAAATTCTGTATAATTCAGTCGGTGAGATGTAATCAGTCATATGGAGCGTTTTAAACCTATCAGCTTTAAAATGGTGGTGATATTAACACAAATAAAGCCACTTTATTTACTATCCAAAATTACCAGTGAACCCTTTTGTCCTGAGTGTTTCTACTAATAGTAAAATAATAGTAAATCTTAAAAAAAAGTCTATTCTATGGGGACTTTTTGCCTTGCATGCAACATGTGTTGTGAATAGCTTTAAAAAAATACACTTTGGGCCAAAGTTTTATCTCTAAAGTATTGTAAAACAGTGTCTCAGGCGTAAGGCAACATGTTCATATTTCCACACATTAACTTTGTCTGATGAAGCTTTCTGTCTCTAAGTTTCTCTAGAGCGCTGGAGATTTTACATGAAACCACTCTGAATGACTACTGAATTATACAGAAATGTTGAAAATTGTGAAGATTTTTTTTAAACTATATTCTTTGGGCGGTTGCGTTGTTCAGAGAAGAAATGTTCTGAACTAAATGATCAACAAAGTCTAGATTGAAATAGAATTACTGGCAAAATTCAGACTTTTAAATAGCTCATACTGCTGTTTTTAGCTATGCGAAATATTTTTATCTTTGTAAAAAATATATATATAAAATATCGTAGATGAAAGTAAGTTGTACAATGTCAGAAACTGCATGAGCTAGTCTTTTTTGAGAATACTTAACAGCGTGATATGGTTTGAGGCAAGTTTTTATGATTTAAACATGCAGAATACGTAATGCTAAACTGGTGGCCATAAGCCTCCATTACTTATTAGCTACATTAGCCTTTTAATTCCAGTGCAAAACTAAAGAAGCAAACTTTTGACACCAAGTGTCTTGGCTAATCAAATCTGTCTGAGGCAAAGGGAAAATTAAGTATGTTATACTTTTGGCTGAATTATCGCTTTAATCTCGGTCTTAGAAACAGAGTTAATCTCACAAGAGCTTCTCCGATCTCAGGTTTTCTTAATGTCCAAGATGCTCCTCAGCCACACAAAGCTGCTGAGGTCTATTCCACGCTGAGGCCTTGCTGCAGGACAGTGTCTGTGGTGGGTGGCGGGTAAAAGAAAGGAGCTAGGTGTGTGCGTAGGCATTCAGTAATCCAGTCAGTCATCACTCCCCTGCTGGGGTCAAGCGCCGTGCTCCCTTCTTTAACCTCCCCATCCAGGCTAAACTCCATCAGCCCCCCAAATCACTGCACGGGGGAAGGAGACGACCACTCTGAGCATTCACATGCTAATGGCTTTTAAAGACTCATTAATACACCACTCATTAATACAGTGTTTGATCAATATGTGACTGGCTGCCAGTTACCCATTTAGAGGGTAATATTGAGGCTAAATTAATTTGGTGATGTTTATGCAGATGAAACGTACATTTTTTGTATGTAAAGGGTGAAATGTGGTTTATAACTGCACTTGGGTGTGAGCATTTTCTATCATGCTGTCAAAACGATCTCAATGTTGGTATTATCGCAGTAGTGTTGTGCTATACATATCGCAGAGGGGAACCCTCAGAACCTTCTAGGCCTTCAGGGAAGGCTTAAAGATTTCTGGGAACTCAAAAACACATCTATAATTTTTAGTTCATTTTTATTCAATACATCCCTGCGCAAACTTAAACTCTGCATCGGAAATTGTTTTTCTCCGTGGGATCTAGGTTGACATAGCTAAGTGAGTTCTCCTGTTGGTTAAGAGCAAAGTCCTTAATTACAAATTGACAGTGGAATCAACCAATCATGTTTTGATTTCTAGTGGGTGGGACCGATTTTGTGAGAAAAGGCACCACTGACATCTTATCACTGTTTGAACAAAACCTTGTATCTCCAATATGGTAACTTAACAGGATAAGGAGAAAACCTCCTTTACTTTTAATAGAAGTTAACGGCTTAAATGGCCAGGGCGGGCCCAAAGTTTTACTGCACACTTCTATAACCTACGCGTGGCTCAAAGAGTTTACATTAAAGTCTCTGTAGGTACTGAAAAATAAGCCTGGGATTTTAAGGGGTTAATGTAACAAAATGTTTTTCTAAATCATTTTGAATAATTTCTAGTGGTCCATTTATCATGTGTACACAATGCAAAGGGTACACACTTAAAAAATAGGATTCTTCAGTGGTTCTTTAGTAAAGAAAATTGTTCTATATATAACCATGAACACTCAAAGAACCATTTGCTTGATTAAAGGGTTCTTTGCATTGTGCAAGGGTTTTTCCTTAATGTGTGTTTTATATGGTTCTATATAGAGCCTTTTTGAAAAAGGTTCTATATAGCAACAGAAAGGATTCTTCTGTTGTAACAGGTTTGACACTGTAACAATAGAAGAACCCTTTTGGGTGCTGTTTAGAACCCTTTTCAGAAAGGTTCTATATAAACCATCTACAGCACATTCTCCCTCAGTCTGAAGAACCCTTTCACAATGCAAAGAACTCTTTAATCATGCAAATGGTTCTTTGAGTGTTCATGGTTCTATACAGTTCTTTGCTAAAGAACCCTTGAAGAGCCATCATTTTTAAGAGTGTAGCTGTTGAGTTTTCAAATTATGTAAAGAAGGAAAAAGTTACAAAAATTAAGATACAAAGGTCAGAGTGTACTAATTCAATAACATGCATTGAAATAATTTCACTACATGTATTACACTGATTTTTATATAAAAAAAAATTGATTAGTTTTTCCAAACGTATGCATAGTTTAAGCACTGCAGTAATGGACGACGTACACAAATCATGTACTTGAGCTAAAGTAGAGATACCCAAGATAAAATATTGCTCCAGTAAAAACAGAAGTCCTCCCTTTAGACATCCATTTGAGTAAAAGTACAAAAGTATTTGCCTTCAAATGTACTTAAGTATCGAAAGTAAAAGTACTAAAAGATTAATTATGATTCTAATGTCCTATTACCATTTTTGTAAGAAGACTCTTGCTTCATAAACTCATTTTAGGTGAAAATACTCTAGTGTCACTCTTGGTCAACCAATCTTTTAATAGAATGTCATTAATTAATCTGTCACTGATGTCTATTAAAATTATCATAAACACAAAACACTGAAGGCAAACAATTTCCATTAGGTAGAACCAAGTGGCTATGAAATAACTTTTTGCAAACAAGCAAAGTTTCAGTTTAAGATTTATTTGCAACTTAGTTACAAGTTTAAGTTTAAACTTGCTTTAAACGCAGGTTTACAAACGAGTTTTCCTTTACTATATTGCATCTTTAGGTCTCTGTACATAAACATAAAACAGCCAAAACAAATTTATTATAAAATGAAATAGTGTTTGTATAAATTCAGCAAAAAAACACATGCCAGTCATAACTGCATGTGTGTACATATTTCTATATTGTGGACTATTTACACAAAGTTAGGTTAGTTCCATCATTTATGTTGGCATAAACACTCCCAAAATAGGTAGGTATGTCCAACAGTTTAAAACAAGCTTGAAACAAAGTGCATGCTGTACCCTGATTGATGTGCTTGCTTCACGCTTCTTTCATTTTGACGTTACGTTTTTATACACACATAAGCTAAAAGGAATATAAGCATAATGTAGTGAAGTAAAAAGTAAGATATTTGACTTTAAATGTAGTGGAGCAAAAGTACTTCAGTACAGATACACAAAAAAACTACTTAAGTACAGTAACGAATTACATTTACTTTGTTACTGTCCACCACTGAAGCAAAGAATGGAGCATTTCATGTCAAATTTTGCAAAAATGGTGTAATTCCAGTCTCAATAATTTACATTTACACACTACTACTTTCTGCTGTTTAGAAATGTATAAACGTGTTGTCCTGGTAGCCTTTGGTGGTGGGCTATTTACTTCCACTATGATTTTTTTTAAAAAAGGACTGTATTATTGCATTGTTGATTTTGTTGAAATTGGAAACAGTGTGATTAATATTGGATTTTTTTTTTTTACACAGTATGTTATGAGATATACTAACTGTCCAATCTTTAATTATAAACCCATTGAAAAAGGCAGATTGTTTACTTAAAACATAGCAGCATATTTGAGTACTATATTGTCTTCCACTCATGAGTTCATATTCTCATTACAGTCCTACTGTAATGATCCTGACCTGGTCCTGGAACTGAAGAACCTGATTGTTATATTTGCAGACACGTTACAGGTATTTCACACCTTGCGCTCTCACGTGATGAGGTTCACTCACAGCTTTCAGCAGTTTCTGTGTCATATGGAACATGTACACACGTTTCCTTAAATCAGCTCATTATTCCACATGATTGTTTCTTACACTTTAATCATAATTCTTGTTTCTTTGCTCAGGGTTATGGTTTCACGGTGAACAGACTTTTTGACCTGTTGTTTGAGATTAGAGATCAGTATAATGAAACCCTGCTGAAGAAGTGGGCTCTGGTGTTCAGGTAAGGCAACACTAACTATCTGCTGTACCTGTGTATTTTTATTGCTCATGCACAATACGGAAATTTGCAGAAATTTTCATTTCATCTTCTTATCTTTGGCTTTTATATAAGTAGTTAGGAATGTCTGCTTGTTTATCATGTTGAATATGTGTTTGTTTCCACTTCTTTGATGAAACAGAGAGATATTTGAGCAGGACAACTACAGCCCCATTCCTGTAGAAAATGAAGAAGAGTACAAGTCTGTGGTCAGTAGGTTCCCCTTCCATGAGGCAGAGATTGAAAAGGTTTGTACAACCAATTATACTAATTAGCTTAACTATAAGGAGTTGCCCCTTTATGACTATAATAGGCTCCCGTTCAATCTGCCCATTCAGTCAAAAAAGCATTTGAGAGGTCAGGCACTGATGTTGGACAAGAAGGCCTGGCTCATAGGGGCACTTCCCCGAACTGTTGCCACAAAGTTGGAAGCATATAATTATTCAAAATGTCTCTGTATGCTGCAGCATTAACATTATGCTTCACTAGAAGAGTTCAAGCTCAAACCCTGAAAAACAGCCCCACCCCATTATCCCTCATCCACAAAACCACAGTGTTTGTCTGTGGATGTGACTGTGAAGAATGTGGCAAACAGACACCTCAACTTAATGATTAGGAGGGGTGTCCACATACTTTTGGCCATATAGTATAGGTTTGAAATGATCAGATGTCCTTATATATTTTAGATGACCTTTATTTAACTCTTGTGTGTAAATGCTGCTCTCTTACCTGTGATTTTTAATCGAAATGAATGTAACTGACTCAAAATACCTGAACTGTTTTATCTTGTTGTATTTAATAGCAACCATTTCCAAAGAAACTCCCCATGTCCCAGTCAGTGCCTCAAATCTACATTCAGGTGAAGGAGTTCATCTATGCCAGCCTAAAGTTCTCTGAGTCACTACACCGGAGGTTAGTGGACTTTTTATCACACTGGTCTTCACTTGAGAAACTGTTCAGTGATCTCTGTCAGACTGAATTTCTGATAAACGTGCCTCCTTTGTTTTTGCATTCAGTTTCAAGTGACTGGTTAAGCCCTTAGACCCTATGAAAAATAATTGTATTAACTGGTAACAGATTACATAAAGTTATGTTTCTTTCTGTTTTTCTTAGAAAAATGTTTTCTGTTTTCATTCCTCAAACTGGTTTGGTGATTTGCCATTTTCTGAGCAGAATTTAAAAGCCAGCTTAGGTCAGCTGTCACTCATCTCATGTCAGCACTGGCCTGCAGAGCTGTTATCTAAGATAGTGCTGGAGAAAGTAAGCTGACCCTCAACCATGCACTCTTTGGGAATGCCCTCTAAGAGCCTGAGCCTGAACTGACTTTCACAGCCTTCACAGCCAGACAAGCTAGGGCTCCATGCTGCCCTCCACCTCGAGCCATCTTTACTGCCAATATTTGTTCTCTTTAAGCTCTCTGGCATTCGGCATAGTATTGTGAGGGGTCTGTGTTGTGCTTGTCACAGGGTCCTCAAATCCTTTCCCCAGAGAGCTGAACCTTTCACCCTGTGAGACTGACAGAGTAGCATATTTGAATTACACTATAGTTACACTGCTGCATACCACCAGCTACACTGCAGCATACTGTCATGACAGCTTTCCCTACACTATATTAAAACACATTTGTGTGTCATAAAAACAGGCCTGCATCAACGGAACCAAAATTTGGAATCTGGAGTCTGGAACATTTGTGCTTGGCCAGGATGCTCAGTTAAGAAATAATAATAATTTATAGGGCTACAAAATATATTGGAACTGATGTGGTCAGTGGTGGTCCAGCAAAACAAGGCATGCTCAGTCTTGTTAATATAAGCCACGTTGCAATATATAGCGATAGTGATTTTTCCATATAATGAAACTCAATGTAATAATAAATGTAGTGATTTTGTTCAAGGTATGCCTTTTTTATTTGCTTTAAACGTTATTCTGAAGTACAGTATTGTTTTGACCATTACCAAACAGTATATTTTGCAGCCCTAATGTCAGGTCAAGTGGCTTTATTGTCATTCCACAATATAAGCAGTATACATTGCCACGAAATGTTGTTCATCAGGCCCCATGGTGCAACACACAACAGCAGCACATTAAACAGGACTAGGTAGAGTGCACATACATGACAGTGTGAAACAAGCACAGAATATACAATAAATACACCAGACAGTAAATATACAGGACAATAAAAACACAAGACAATAAATGACCAGAAAAATAAATATACGTAACAAAATACACATGACGGTAGACTCCAGCACTGCTGTGTCTAATCTACTTGTACCAACACACATGAACATGCCACCACCATGGAAATGTCACTGCAGTGCTGAGAATGATCCACCACCCACATTATACCTTCCCTGTGATGGTCCTGTGGGGGTCCTGACAATTGAAGAATAGTATAAAAGGGGGCTAACAAAGTATGCAGAGAAACAGATGGACTACAGTCTGCAATTGTAGAACTACACAGTGCACCTGTATGGTAAAATGGACAAGGAGGTGTATTTCATGAAGTGGCCGATTGGTGTACATGAATTGTGGTCCCATGGCAGCATTCAGAGATTAAGATTAAAAGCAGCATCTACAGCATGGAGCCAGGGAAAGTGTTCCCACGAACACCAGGCATCCCCTGTGGCACCGGTGATGGGAATGTTGTTAATATTCTCTGGGTTTCACTCCGGAGCCACAGTGCTATAGTCCTATGTTATAATCCCTCACTGAGCCCCATGTTGCTGCTTGTTATGTCAGTAGGGTCAGGCTGCTCCCCTGGCAGGAGAAACAGTGGTTGGGAACAGCATATGGTGTATGGGTGTGGATGCTGTTGACAACATTGTCGGCTGCTGGAGTGAGTTAGAGTTGATCCTATCGCTGTGTCTTTTCCTACTGGCTCTGCAGTAATCAATGCAAATTACTGCCGATTTCACACGCGTCTCTAATTGTTTGTTTGTCATGTTAAGAGAGTGGTAATGAGTGGCCTCTGGACGTTTCTATTGAGTGTTTGCTTACCTGATCCCTCCCTCCTAATCAGCACCTCTCGCACACACACATACCGTATCTGCAGAATCAACAGACACTTGCAATGTCCTGTTAATACTCTCACCTAGCTGCTGCTGAGCTGACCTGCTGTCAGAGTTCAGGCTCAAAGGTTATTGTTAACGCCCTAAACATGATCTTTAAGGGTGCACATGCTTATAGTTCGGTTCCCTTGATCTGCACAGAAGCAGAAAATGATACATTGTTGCATTTTAGTTCTGATTTGCATAGCATGCAGGGCTTTCCCCAAGTATTGCCACAAAGTTGGAAGCATAATTGTCTAAAATGTCTTTGTATGCTGTAGCAGTAACAAATTCCCTTCACTGAAACTAAGGGGCCCAAACCCTGAAAAACAGCCTAAGACCATTATCCCTCCTCCACCAAACTCTACTGTTGGCACTGTGCATTCCAGTAGGTAGCACTCTCCTGACATCTGCCAAATCCAGATTTGTCCATCAGACTGCTAAAGCTCCAGACGCACAGTTCTTTTGCTGATTATGCTTCCACAGGCAGTTTGGAATTCTTTAATGAGTGATGCAAAAAGAGAATAGGCACTGTGCGCTTCTGGACTCATTAGCCCCGCTCTGTGAGTTTGTGTGGTCTGCTTCTTCGTGGTTGACCTGTTGTTGCTCATAGACGCATCATTATCACAATAACAGCACGAACAGCAGTTGACTAGATCTACAAAAATAATTATTAAAAATAGCATATATATATATATATATATATATATATATATATATATATTCTGGTTGCTCTGTGAATGAGCGAAAGTAATAAATGGTAAATATTTATTAATTAGTAAATAAGTAAATTAACTATTGGTACCACAAACACAGATAATGCTATGCAACGTTACACCCCCTCAGGGTTGGGATAGCTACTGAAAAGTTAGTAGCTACCTACTTTGTAGCTACTTTCCCAAATTTTGTAGCTACAATTTAGCTGCTTTTCCAGAAAAAGTAGTGGCTAATTTTTTTAGCTATTTTTTGAAGAGTAGTGCACTACTTTTTAGCTATTTTCAAAGCGCAGTTGTCAGAATGTTTGTGTATCTCCATCTGACACATCAAACAAGCCCAACTGATAGTGTGAACAAGACACTGCATTTTATCATGTTGCAACATACAGTTGAAAAGCTGCAAATATACAAAAAGATCACCAAAAAGTGAGTTTAAGTGTAGCCAGCAATTAAACTTACACAACCAAATGTGTGATATCCAACACAAATTTAGACTAAGTGAAGGCAAAGTCAATCATTCCAGGTTTTTCCTAACAAAAATCAACAAAAATAACCATATACAAACCAAACAGTTTTGTGCAAAGCATTGTCAACTGGTAAAACAAAACTGCTCCAATTTAAACATTTCAGCAAGATATGTACAGACATGACATTCAGAGACCTTTGTTAAACTTCAGCAACACTTCAGCCTCAAAATTATCATCAGTGACCCTGGCTGGGTTTGGGTGAGAATCAGGCCTGCGCAGCTGAATAATTATTCCACTGCTGCAGAGCTGTTGCGGCTCCACAGCAGAACTAGATTTTTAGGTAAAATAACATAATCCTCCTTTGCTGTAAAATAAAGCTCTGCTGATCTTTGTAACACACAGTTCCAACACAATTTTCAATAAATAGTCTTAAACGCTCAAGTTAGTGTATAACTGCTAATTCACCAACCTTTAACGCTGAAGTTTCCTGACTGACATGTGAGAAAAGCGTCTACAGCTGACCTAAAGGTTAAACCAGGGCAAAGTAAGTCTGCGTTTTTGTTTATATTATATTTTTAGCCTGTACTAGTACATTAGCACATACTGAGACATATTTACAGCCATGATGGTAAAACGGACATAAAATGTTGTGGCTCCCCAGGTGGTTTAATTTTTGTTGAAAGGACATAATGGCTCTTCTTAACATTTGGGTTGCCGACCCCTGAGCTAAGCCTACTAGTAAGAGGTGATCAGCACGTGGGGCCAGCATGTGACCGTTTGCTCGAACTGTCCACGGCTCAATCAGGATTGCACAATCGCCACTAGACCAGTTAACGACCGTGTTGTGTGGTTTAAATTTTGTGCAGATTGCCTGAAGACTGTAGTGAAATTGTAGCAAAAATTATTGCTATAGCTGCACAAAAATGTGTAGGCACTACAGCTATTAGCTACATTTCATAAAACTCTAGCGGCTACAGCTATAAGCTACAAAAATTTGTAGTTAGCTACAAAAAGTAGCTCGCTACTCAACTACTCCCTTATCCCTGCCCCCCAAAGAATTTCCACCCATGTTTATTGTGGCTTCTGGCATCACAAAACTCTGAATAGGAACAGTTTAATATAATTTCATCCAACCTCCTTTACTCTCATTAGTTAGATAAGTCACAAACAGAAACTTTGAAAATGCTATGATGTGGAACTTGCTGTGCATGGTCAAAGTAACCTGGCTGCTTGTTTGTTTGTTTGTTTGTTTTTTGCTTCAGCTCTACTGAGATTGACGACATGCTTCGTAAATCCGCCAATTTGCTGCTGACCAGGACGCTGAGCGGCTGTTTACAGAACCTCATCAAAAAGCCCCATATAGGGCTAACTGAGGTTGGCACCACATCCCTGCCACCGTTATGTGCATGAAATAACAATTTGAGAGCTTCTGAGTCTTGACATTGTAGAATTATGTGAATTTTGTTTTTGCAGTTGGTTCAGATCATCATAAACACCACCCACTTAGAGCAAGCATGTAAATACCTGGAAGACTTCATCACAAACATCACCAACGTCTCTCCGGAAACCATTCACACCACAAGACTCTACGGGCTCTCCACTTTTAAGGTAAGATAATTGGCGAACTGCTTTATAATGATGTTTTTGTTTTCTTCCTGCGGGCATAAATTGATGTGCGATGACATCTGGAATGACGTAGTCACACACAGGTTATTGCTCTGGGAGCTGTCATAAGCTTTACAGAACAGTTGCTGCTTGAGGGCTTATGAACTCCAACAAGGCCTCCATGCCAAATGTCTTGATCAGAAGCCAATGTTTTTTTTTGTTGTTGTTTTTTTTCTGTAACCATAAAATGGTAACTAAGCAGACAGCACTTCATTCTTTAGCCTTGCTGCAAGCAAGATGCAACAATCTGTAAGCTAGTATAAACATGTTCTGGTTGTTCTGGCAGTAGCTCAGTTCAAGTTGCACTGGAACTGCAAGGCTAATGTAGCTATCAGGTACTACTTTTACCCTACTATCAAAAAATTGTCAGAAGTATGCTACATAGGAAAGGTGAGCCAGCAAATGGAAAGCCATGGGTTCATATATCAGGACTGATTGGGTATTCCTGGTTGTGCCCTTGGGCAAGGGACCTAACCCCACTTGTCCCAGAAACCACAAAAGAAGGCCTATTTGACATTTCCCAGTAACCTGACATGGATTAAGTTTAGTGCATAATGATTCAGGTGTGCAGTTTGCACAATGCTAATTGCTGGTATAAAAGCTTCCATTACTTGTTAGCTACATTAGCCTCAGTGTAGGAATGTAAATGATTAACTGATTAACTGTTAAGCAATAAATAAATAATTGCTTGATGTCAGTTAAAAAAAAAACTTTTAATTTCTTTTTATTGCAATATTCAGTTCATTACTATTTCCTTCTGAATAGCCGAATTTACCATTCAAGTTGAAGAACGTTTTTAAATTGTACGCATGAGGGCTTTTGGTTCTATGGATTGGTCTATTAAAAAGTAAAATGTTTGCGGTTACTTTTTAAGAGGATGATAGCTTCAGTGAAATGCTGTATCAAAAGAAAACATCCACAAGTGATAACATCCAAGAGCAAGTGTGATGCACGGCAGTGTGAGGAAATCATAGAGAAGGAATCTGAAGGACAACAACGGCTTTTAAGAGCTGCTCTGGTACATTGAGCCAAAGCAAGCTCTGGTCATGGCATTGATGTTTGGCCAATAATAAGTGGTAATTATAATATTATAACTTTAAAATGTAGAACTAAAAACGTACTTAAATCATTTGGCTTTCGAAAACAGCTGATGTAAGTGTTTTGTGTCGTCTTGTGTTTCCTTCTCTTTCTTTCAGTAGCCCTTATACATTGGTCATTTTGTCAACGTTTTCGGCCATGTAATCATGAACATATTATAGTTGACAGGCCCATGGTTTAAACATAACCAGGTTCTTATGAAGGCCATGTTTAATATGCCTTTGGGCTGTTTACTCCATATAGACATGCTTGTGCCTGGCCTCACCTATCAGTACTATGTTCCACAATCCATACAAGAAGCACTTTTTATTATCTTAGTGTACTGATACAGAATACACTTGATGTGTGTGCTCATTATTGTTCAAACATAGCTCAGCCAGTCAGCCTTCATATCTGGAAATTTAAAGTTTTTTTATAGTCTATATTTTGAAGAGTCGCATGTATGATTTTAGGGTTGTCAGTTAATGATCAAACTTCTGACACCAAATGTGTCTTGACTGCAATAAATGGGTAAACTGTGTTACTAAATGGGTAAATTGTGTTAATTATTTTGCCAAGCTATTGCTTTAACCTATAAAAGCATCCCACCAGCTGTCCATTAAGACTTTGGTGATGGCTCATTTAAATCAATTAAATCGATCAACAGAGGAGTTCTGGCACATGCATGTCTACATTAATCACAGTAATAGATCAGCGTGTAGAATTGAGGCTGTGTACTGCCATGTTTTCTATCACTGTATAAAAGATGCGCAAACTTTCCTTTATAGTTGGAAGCACTGTGATTTTTTTTTTTCTATGCAAGCTTATTCAGAGCACAGTCCAGATTGGTAAGAGTTTATTATTGTTTTGTTTGAGTGCGACTGATGTGTGGCACCGTTGAGCCAAAACATTACGACCACTGTGCTATTGGTCCTCCGCGTGCCACAAAAACAGCTCTGACCTGCTGAGGCGTGGACTCAACAAGATCTGTGAAGGTGCCCTTTGGTTAACAGCAAAGATCCTTTAAGTCCTGTAAACTGTGAGATGAAACCGCCTCAGATCAAACTTGTTGTTCCAGCACAGAACAGTTTTCCATTTTGCCTCAGTGCATTTTAAATGAGCTTTGTCCCAGAGAAGACGGCGGTGTTTCTGGATCGTGTTGACATATGACCTCTTCTTTGCATGATGCAGCTTTAACTTGCAGTTGTGGAGTGCATGGTGAACTGTGTTCACACACACAAATATGTCTGGAAGTGCTCCTGAGCCCATGCAGTAATTTCCAGTACAGAATCATGCCTGTTTTCAGCGCAGTGCAACCTGAGGGCCAGAAGATCACGAGCATCCAATATTGACCATCGGCCTTGTCCCTTGCATACAGGGATTTCTCCAGATTTTCTGAATCTTCTGATGACATTATGTACTGTAGATGGTGGGATATCCGAAGTCTTCAAAATTTTACGTTGAGGAACATTTTTCTGAAATTGGTCCACAATTTTTATGCGCAGTTCTTAGCAGATTGGTGAACCTCTGCCCATCTGTTCTTCTGTGAGACTCTGCCTCTCTAAAATGCGTTTTTTTTACCCAGTCATGTGAGTTAGTTGCAAATTGCTCCTCTAGCTGTTTTTTATTAGTACCACTTACTTTTCCAGCCTTTTGTTGCGCCTGTCCCAGCTCTTTTGAGAGGTATTGCTGCCATCAAGTTCTGAATGAGTTAATGTTTTTCATGAAATGGTAAAATGATCTGATATGTGTTCTTAAGAAAAAGTGTTAAGGTGAACAGTTTTGTGTGTCTGCAGGATGCAAGACATGCAGCTGAAGGTGAAATCTACACCAAGCTCAACCAGAAAATTGACGAGTTCATCCAGCTAGCTGACTACGAGTGGGGCATGGCCGAGTCAGACGGCCGGGCCAGCGGCTACCTAATGGATCTCATCAATTTCCTGCGAAGCACCTTCCAGGTTTTCACACACCTTCCGGTGAGGTTTACTCTGCTGAACGCTTAGTGCACACATTGTCCTGGTGCTGTGGTCATTTACGTGGTCCATTATGTGTTTCTCTTGGGGTGTAAAATGCACTTGCTGAGCACATCCTCTTATGTATGTAGTGGTGTGGTCAAATATGTGTTGTTGCATGGGTGGCGTTGAAGGATTCTGTAATTTTTTGTTGCTGTGTAGTTGTCATTTGCAGCAGAAGTGCCATTAGCAATTCCAGTGACAGGTGTTTCATTACTCAAAAGGGTACAGGAAATTAGAAGGCTGTTTATTTGGCCCAGTGAGAGGCAGTAGAAGTCAAAACATAGACATATGATTAATGTTGGACTGTGGATATCACCAGAGGTTTGCCCTTTTGGTCATTTGGATAGCTCCTACAAAAAAGGAGCCGTCTCACTTCACAATGCTTTATCAACAGAATCTCACATATTTCTTGCAACTTCTTTAGCTTAAATTATAACTATTATATTAGAAACAAACAGGGATTTAAAAGGGCATTCTGGCCTAAAACTAGCATTTAATGTGTTATTTCTCATGTAATGCTCTATAGCGCAGCATTGCCATTGCATCCCTGTACCTCATCGGTTTGACAAAATTTACAATTTTGTTACAATTTTGTACCCATCAGTGTTCTCTCACTACAATACCCAGCATGCATTATGTACGTACATAAAAAATGAATGCACCGATGTACCACTCATAGAGGCTAAAAACTAGACGAGATATTTGGCTTCAACTACTAGCAGAAAAAAACAAACAAAAAACATTTAAGAAAGCTCAAATATCTACCCCAAGGTCCCACCCTCAAGATGCATCATCAGAAGGGTGTTTCCCTAGTCTTTAAACTGGAAAATCTCATTCTAGAGATACTTCAGCACTGCTGTAGGAGGAGAGTAGGCATGTTTACAACAAATGTGGCAAATTAGCAATGGTTGCAATTTGGCCAGAGTGCCCCTTTAAAATAGGGATTTTAAAGATTTCCAAATACTTTACTGAAGAAAAGTAGGAAGGCTTTAAAAAGACTAAAAAACACTAAGTGCACGTAAGTGGGTATGTCCTTTAGGCTGTGTTTCTTACTGTGTCTTTCTTTATTATTTTTGTGTTGTAAAGACAGAGTGCTTGCCTGCTTTATTCCTCAGGCCCCCACCCCTCCTCACCTGTGCTCATAAAGCTGTTACTTTACCTCCAGTTTGATTTTCACTGCTGTTCAGTTGGTCAGTTCAGTTGAGTTTTTCAGGAATGTCCTCTTTCTTTCTTTCTTTCTTTCTTCTTTCTTTCTTTCTTCCTTTTCCTGTATCTCTCTCTCTCTCTCTCTTTCTCTCTCTCTCTCTCTCTCTCTCTCTCTCTCTCTTTTCTCCAAGTGACTGTAGCCTTACATTTCCTTCTGCCAGGCATGCTTGTTTATCAGATCTTTCTTTATCTGTCCATTTATCGTTGCCATCCTTTCTTTCCCTGTCTGTGTTTTTATTTTGTTGGGGGTTCTGCTCAGAATAACAACAATGATCATGCAGCGATGTCGGTAAGTAAACCCTCCTTACACCCCCAGAGGGGACAAAAAATGAATACAAATAAACCGCATGCTCATGTCCGCTGTGTGGACCCACCTCCAGGCTTGCTTTGCTTTCTTTCTCCACGTCATGCCAAAAGTGAACTAGATCCGTTACCCACCTGATCTGTTTCCCCTGACTGCCTTAGTGGGGATGTCAGCATCTGCTGATTGTAGGACAGATTCTCACTTGAGATTCACTTGCAGATCTTTTTCTGAGCCCTTTGTAGCCCTTGTGTGTTAACTCTTTAAAGTCAGAATGCAATCCGATCATTGACAGCATTTAGGAAACACGTGGTCCAAAAAGTCCTGCAGTATAGGTGCACTCAAGTAGAACATACCTTAAAGGACTGCCGCATACACTCAGTAATTTTGACAGTGTAAAAATATCCATTTTATTTACTAATCAAAATGACCAGCGAACCTACCTGTGTCCTCTGAGTTTTTACATGTAATGCTGATGGTGAAATAGTGGTAAATCCAAAAAATAAGCCTCATAACTCCCTCTCCACCCGCAATGGATTATTTTGTTTCATTGCAAGACTATCATAAATGTCTCAGGCATCAGGCAAGGTCATTATGACCATTTTCTGTACTAACTTTGAGTGATGGAGCTTTTAGAGGCATTAAATACTTTGGACGTCTGGTTCCCATCATTATCACTGTGAACAATTCTAACTAGAATGGAGCGTTTCACACCAAACTACTCTGAATGACTTTGTTTACATCTTAACCACTTAATTACGCAGACATTTTGAAAAATTACTGGAAGTACAGAGAAATTACTGGAAGTCCTTTAAAGAGGTAGCATACTCTGAAACAATATTTTCAATAAAAAAAAGAAATGTATGTTTGTGTAAATGGAACTGTAGTGTTTTATGTTATTATTTTAGCAGTCATTTTTGAAAAGGTGCATTTGGACTGACTTACAGCCCAAATACTAATTATGCAGCGTATCTATGAAATGAATTCAGTTTTCAAGTCACTTTTGCACACTGCCAGCAGGTTACTTAATGCTCTCTCTAAGGCTATGATATGATACACAATACTGTGTAAACAGGCATTTTTTTGTGTCATGTCACAGTCAAAAGTTTGAACACTCCAGTCAAATTACGTTTTGTAATTGGAGTGAATAAATCCTCTACACATCCTCTACAGCAGGGGTGTCCCATCTTACACGCAGAGGGCCGGTGTGGCTGTAGGTTTTCACTCCAAACAAGCTGAAGCACAACTGATTCTGCGGATAAGATTGGACACCCCTTCTCTACAGGGAACAAATTTAAATATGTAATTTTTTTGCACATTTTAGTGCCCAATTTCCTTTTATTTGCTGAGTTTAACATAATGAGAAAAAAATCAAACATGTAATACAAAATGTGTTGTGACTTTTGCACAGGCCACATTTTATGTTTTATATTTGTCCCCAGTATGTTGGATTCAGCACAGTAAAACAGTAATTGTACATTGAATTGTGCAGAAGTGTGTTCTACTTTCACTTAGAAAATCAACAAAACATCATTTGCCCAGGTGCCCAAACCTTTGCACATAACTGTAGATAGAGTAACTTGCATCTTGCTTCTTACTTCCATTCCTGCAGACAGTATTGCCTACATTAGGGATGGGAGAAGAAAATCTGCACAGAATAGTACTTCGATATTTTGGGTTTAAATACGGTGTCCTGATTATAAACACTTATTTAATAAGTAACATTTTTAACGTGTGAGAAGCCCATTGTTAAAACACATTACCAAAATGTATTGCCCACCATGCTCCCCCTGCACGCAGGAGCACCAGTGTACCAGTACATCAGTAAGAGTCACTGGGTAAGACTCCTAAAATGACATTAAAAAACATTTGTTAAATATATAAGAGTAAAGTCTGTTTTTCATTTTTTTGAACATCTGCTACATAAGTATACTTTAGGACTCGGTCAATGTTGATTTGTTGCAATACAAGGAGCGAAGAGAAATGAACAAATTGTAAACTTTAAACTTTTTGTAAACTAATTAGATAAAACAAAGTTTTCTTTTGGCTGAATAATTTGCGGTGAAAAGTAATCAATCTTAATAAATTACATAGTAGTAAGCAAATACCACTTGAAATTCTTCCTCCGACATAGGTCTTGTCATAATCGCTATACCGGTATGCCACAAACAGAGCAGATAACGTGACGTACAAACAGTGCAAACCATGCTAACGTTATCCTCTTTAGCTGCGTGGTAGTGAGGGATGTTTCAGTCATATTTCAAATGAAAATGAAAATGCAGCAGTCTCTCAGTCACCTCCTGCTGTCTAGTCAGTTTCATCTGAAGTAGTCCATTTTGTTTTGGAGGCAGTAGATATAGAGGAATGGCCTGTCTTTTGGGGTTAGCCTCAGCCTGACGTGGGACCAGAGCATTTGCCATGCTTCTTCTCGTACCTCATGAAAAGCAGCCTGACTCAATCAGCTGCATCAGACAAGGTGATCAGGGCCTCTTATTCGAAATTCTCCTTCCACCTTAAATGGTGAAGCAGTTACATTCAGGCATCTGAACAGGTGCCAGAATGTATGCTGCTCCCATTTAAGGTGGAATGGAACTTCTAACAAAAAGCTGGCAAAAAAGAAGCCAGCTTGAGCTTTGTAGACATAAAGACGTGAAACAACATTTAGCACTGTTTGCTGTGCCCATTAGAAAGCAATACTGATGGGTTTAGATATTGTACATATCTATGTATTGTTCAGTTTTGTTTTTGCTATTTTGAGCAATAAAAATATTTTGGGTTTGCTTTGGTTATGATATATACCAAAAGTGCCAGAAATGTGAATACCATGATATACATTTTTGACCATACAACCCAATACTAAACTCATATAACAATACCTGGCATATCACATATCATTAAATATCGTCATATCATATATCAATTGTAACAATTCCCACCCCTAGGGTTAATATACGCTGCAGCAAAAAACTACCAGTATCTCAGTGGTTTTTGGTGTGGTGCTAATTAAAGCACTGCTCTATAAGAGGACTATAACATTATATCTTAGCCTTTTTTTTGGTGGATATGAAGGCATTATGCAGTGTAAAGGGGCAGGATTGTGTATTTTGGATGTATTTTGGGAATATCCAACTATATCCTTGGGAAGGAGACTTTGATATTGTCACTGTTGGGATGAAACCTTGCATCTCCAAAATGGTAACTTTAAAGGAAAAGGAAAAAACTTTTTATTCTAAATAGTTTTAGACCATTTCTATTGGGTCCGCTTCACATAAAAACTTCACACGATTTAAAGTCCAGCTGGCATTTTCAAACAACAAAAATGGAGAAAGAAAGTTTTGTCCTAAAAGCGACAATATACATAGCTTTTTGATACCGTATAAAACAAGCAGCCTTGTTAAACAACAAATGTTTTTTGCTGGTGGTTGCTAGGGGTGCATGGATCATGAATTTTTATGGCCAATTACAATTTATTCACAATGGCTGATTTTTAAAGCAACAGGCAACAAAGACAATAACATTGTTTATTCATTATATTTCTGTGGACTAAATGAACGTGCAGATATGAAATGCACAGGTCGGGATGGCCTAACACATGAGCGGATGCGAATGAAGAACGTTCAAAACATTCAAATGTAGCGTGCATGTGCTTGGTTCAAATGCATTATTTATGTCATAAAATTGGCAGATGAGTGTTAGGAGCAAATATTGACTGATCTTGCACCTCTAGAAGAAACGTCAGTAAAAACTGCCACATGGTTAGGTCTCTTGGGCTTTTTTTTATTAAATAGTACAATAGATGATCGTTGTAAAGCTTCACTGTGTGTCAGTTGTGTTTTGCTGATGTGAAAAATGTGACTTAACCCAAGCATATCACTCGTGGTGAAGTGTTTCTAATCACTAATAGCATAGGGTTGTTCTGCCTGTTTGCTGGAAAAGCTTTTTTGTTGTGGGGTTTTTTTTTTGGTTGTTTTAAGGAATTTAAATATTCTAAGACAATAAATAAGCATTATTTTTTGCAAGTCATCAGCATGTATATTGGTGTAGCAGCTAGTGCATGGATGTTTGCGTGTGTGAGTATGCTTAATATGGTTGGTTTATCTTGCCTTCTGTACATCCCTGCTCATTTTGAGCCATGTCGACTTGCATGATTGGTCATTAACAGTCTTTGTGTGTCCGAACAGTACAACCAAAAGTTCTCTTGGATATAGAAGTAAACTTGAATTGTATTGCGTTTGATAGACCTTTATTTCGGGACGTTTAGAGACTTGTGGGTAGCAGTTTGGTTACAGAGAGAACAGTTCTGCTTAGTAAAATATCTATGTAGAGAAAATCATATATAAAGCCATCTATCTGGGCAGTAAGCATTTATTTGTTGAAAAAATATTACCATTAGAAGAAATGCAAATAAACAATACTTTGTCAGCATGTTAGCTTAACCATTTCCAAAACTCAGTTAAAAGAAGTCTGGTATGTACAGTTACCATTTAATACCAAGTTTATCGTATCAGTCCTTTTTTAAATTATATCAAGTGTGCTCCTGTTGGAATTGAACAAATCCATTCAATGACTGAAGTGCAGCAAGAACTCAGGATCCAAACCTGTGTTCTTCTAAGATATCAATAACTGTTAATAACAGAGCAATGTGTTTCACTGTAATTGTGTTTGTTTGCAATTATTCTTGTCATATAGTGCTTTATGGGCAAAAACACACTTACTGCTGAGATCACTAGTGTTATAAATGTATAAATAGAGACCACCCTTCATCAAGATTAGATATAAGATAATATCCACTTGTGTAAAGAAGGGAAAAGTCAAAGGAAAATAAGTTGGGGTTATATAACTGGAGCTCAAAACATTTTTCAAAGATACAGAGAAAATGGGACTCCTAACAACCATGCAAAACCTGGTAGACCACCAAAACTGTCATCATGTTAAACAGTACTTAAATCTTTAATCATTGAGAGAATCATTTAGAAGAAAATCCAGCTCTACTCTTGCTTCAGATCTGATGATTCTATGGGTCTGAAAGGATGTGTAGCTGTCAAGAAGCCATTACTGAGAAAAGACAAAAAAGAAGAATGTTTGCAGCAGCAGAACACTGAAACCTGCCATCTGAGATGAGGAGTAAGATTTTATGGACTGATGAGTCTAAATTTGTAATTGGGATTGTTTGGATCGTGAGAAACAAAAAGGTATGTATAGGAAGCTTGGAAATCCTTGCAGATTTGTTTGAGAAACTGAAAGTAGGTGTCCAGAAAAGAAAAGAAGCTGTAATAAAGGCACATAATAAGTGGACACACTAAATACTGAAAAAAATACTTTTAGTTGTTGAGTTGAGTTGTTTTCTGTTAAAAACATGGTTTCTGCTTTTTTTCCTTACACTGAAAAATTATTAACTTAATGGCTGTTCTAGCTGGAAGTTAAATGAAAGGTGGTCTCTGAATTTTGCACAGTACAGTATAAATATATATCTTTGCTGATGCTGATTCACATACTGACTGCATTTCATACACTGAAGTACAATAGTTGAATTCAGTTTACAAAGTAGTAAGTGTGCAGAGCCAGATCTGTGACTGAAAAATGTTTTTGTCAAAAAGTACACAAATAGCTGATGTCTCTTCTGCTGTGCCCTGTTGTGTGTGTGCTGTACAGGGGAAGGTGGCTCAAACAGCCTGCATGTCGGCCTGCAAGCACCTGGCCACCTCTCTGATGCAGATGTTGCTGGACACGGAGCTCAAGCAGATCAGTATGGGGGCCATCCAGCAGTTCAACTTGGATGTCATCCAATGTGAATGTGAGTAATGTGGGATATTATACAGTGTCAGTATCAATAAAGATGGGTAAAGTAAGTCATCAGCAATGCCGACTGGCAAATACTAAATGCTCTCGGAGGGAGAAATTGATATCTGCCAGCTTCACAAGATCCAAAAAGTGCATTACAAAATGCCCATCCAAACATGCGCAACTTGACAGCTAAATAGCTTAATAAGCAGCATTTATTTCTTTATAATGTAAGATACTGCTGTTCAGAATGTTTAACAGACTATGGGGGCTGTGTAGTGGAGATATTAGAAAGGTATTAAAAAGATTTTAAAAGGTAAAATTAAAATTGTAAAGCAACACCAATTAAGAATCACTCAAAGGACCATTTACTTGCATTCTTTGTTGCTCAAATATGAAAATAGTAAAAATTCATCGTTACGTGACCATTTTCCAACATCTTTTTTTCTCTTACATATAAAGAGTCTTTTTTTTGTCTTCTGATTGGCTTGTCTGAATTCTGTCTGGTTGAAGCACTCCTTATAACGTCAATGCGAATGGGCGGAGCTAAACTGCAAGGCTGAATGGGCAGATATGTCAATGTGTTGGTTTTCATGACTTCACAAAAATAATGAATTTAAAATGAGCAGTTTAGTAGCCATTTATAGGCCAAATGTGAATAGGTTTTTGCATAATATGGGTCCTTTAAACTTAAGATCTAAATCTCAATTTACAATGATGGACAGCTCACTGAAGGTAAAGGAAAAAAATAACTTTAAGATGTTCTATGCAAGTGACCACAGCTTTCTAATGAGACTTTGTTTTTTCTGTGTCCTAACACGCAGTGGAACATGATGAAATCTCTTAAATCTACTGTAAACAAGAGCAATTATTTCCAGACACAGATTAAAACTATTCTTGAACTAAATTGCAGTCATGGTGGGGATTCTCCATTGCAACACTTTTTTAGTCTAAGACTAGATTTAATCTACATCTGGAAAACCATCTGTAAATGTCTTAAAACTTCACCTGAGTGTAAAGAGGCTGTTCTGTGTGGATGTGTGTAACCAGATGCACGGTTGGTACAGTGTTTAACTAGATGCTATCCTGTTGCTGTAGCAGACACTCCAAAGAGCTGTGGTTTTCTTGCCTGAAAAGAAAAGACACACTTCCTTTAAGAACCTGTTTGTTCACCGCGACGCCTATGCCGCATTTCAAATGCCACTGTGCCTGTTAGTGGATTTAACCGAGGAGCTGTAATTACTGCCATCAGAATACTTGTCTAAAATAAACAGACACACATCTAAGGCATGTAGCACATTTCTAATGATCTCTTTTCCCTTTGTAGCTGTAACCCTTTGAGCTCAGCATTAAGTTTAATGACTGTGAACTAGCCCGACCTTTTTCACACATCATATTTGGGACCAACCCCGCACTGACATGACCTCAATCGTCGGCGTGCACGGAGACAGCTGTGCTTAAGGTGTCTGAATAAGATACTTCCTCTTCATGGCACATTCCATTTCCACGTCGTATCTGTCGCAACAAAACCTCGTATCTCAAGAATAATAATTTTACGGAAGGAAAACCTGTTCTTAATTTTTATTTTCTATCTAGTATTTTAGAGTATCTATATGTTCCAATTCGTCCCAAAGATGTTCAGTGGGATTGAAGTCAGGGCTCTGTGCAGGACACTGAAGTTCCTCCACACCAAACTTGTTAAACCATGGACCTGGCTTTGTGCACAGGGGAACAGGAAAGGGTTTTTGTGGCTCAAACTGTTGCCACAAAGTTAGAAGGATGTAATTGTCTGAGAACTTGTCTTAGTATGCTGTCGCATAAACATTTCCCTTCACTGTAACTAAGGGCCCCAAACCCTGAAAAACAGCCCCAGACCGTTATCCCTCCTCCACCAAACTTTATTGCTGGCAATATGCATTCCACTAGGTAGCTTCTACTGGCATCTGCCAAACCCAGATTCGTCCATTACACTGACAGTTAGAAGTACATGATTCATTACTCCAGCGTCCCATTTCCACTGCTCCCGAGTCCAATTGCATCATGCTTTACACCTCTCCAGCTGACGCTTGCTGTTGCGCATAGTAGTCTTATGTGCAGCTGCTTGGCCATGGAATCCCATTTCGAGAAGGTCCCATGGCACAGTTCTTGTACTGATGTTGTTTCTGGAGGCAGTTTGGAAATCTATAATGAGAGATGCAACAGAGGATAGGAAATTTCTTATGTGCTATATGCTTCAGCACTCAGCGGACATGCTCCGTAAATTTGCATGGTCTGCTGCTTTGTGGCTGAGCTGTGGTTGCTCCTAGACCCTTCCATTTCGCAATAATAGCCCTTACAGTTGACTGGGGCAGATCTAGCAGGGCAGAATTTTCACAAACTGACTAGTGACAAAGGTGACATCCTGTGACAATGTTATGTTTACAGTCACTGAGCTCTTTAGCATGACCCACTGCCTGCATTTGTGGTGATTGTATATGTTAGATTTTATATACCTGTTAGCAATGGGTGTGGCTGAAACACATGAATTCAACAATTAGGAGGTTTGTCTAATACTTCTGGCCATATAGTGCATTTGTCATCACTGTCGCATCAAAAACTACTATTGTTCAATTCTTTAATTACTTAAATCTAGTTACATTAACGTGCATTATAGTTAACATCTTTCTTTTCCTGTATAAAGATTATGTGAAAATACTAATTGTCTCTATTGTTTGATTGAGCTGTGAGTGAAGCAGACACGTCATGTAGTTAAAAAGACTAGATTTTGTGACAAAAATCAGTGCTCAGTTGTAATTAATGCAACATCTTAGCTGGACGTAGCATTATCTGGCTTTGGTTTAAAGGGAAATTTTTACCAATTTTCCAAAGATTTCTGCATAGTTCTATCATTAAGATGTAAACCATAAAAGTCATTCTGAGTGATTTGTAGAGAATTGTAGAGAAATTTTAGAGCTTTGTTGGGAAACTTTCCAGTTCTACAGCGCAAATATGGCCGTTTTATCCACTTATCCATTAAAACTACACGTCTTTTGAGTTAATGTTAATAAAAATAATGGTAAAATAGTGGTAAAATGAAAGTTCTACAACTCCCTGCATGTATCTCTCCACCATTAATCTATTTTTAAAAATACATTTTAGGCCAAAGGCTCATCTCACAGCTATCATAAAACAACGTCTCAGGCATTAGACAGGTAATCACTTGAACAAGGTTTTAGAGGCATTGGAGGGGAATTCCAGTGATTTTGAAAAATTTCTGCATAATTGAATAGTTGAGGTGTAAATGTAGTCATTTGGAGTGTTTTTGATGTGGAACGGTTAATCAAAGAAAAACTCAGGCTTATTATAGTGGTGGTGCTGTGATGTCAACATTTTTTATGTCATGTTGGCAATGGTCAAATAGTGGTAAATCTGAAAAAATAACTATTTTGTCTTACAGCTCCCTCGATGTACATCTCCACCATGAATTATACCTTATCTTAAAACTGCTGCAAGACAGCATGTTCAGAACCACTTCCTTTAATGACTTTGTAACAGAGCTTTAAGAGGCATTAAACTCTTCGCACATCCGGTTCCTATCACCACCACTGTGAATGATTCAGACTTAGTACGTTTCTCTAGAACGGAGCATTTCATATCAAACCACTCTGAATGACTGTTTACGTATTGATGATTTAATAAATCTAAGGGGGGAAAAAATGATTAATTTCACTACATAGGTTGAGAAACATAATCTCTGTGTAGAGGGATTGTTTTGCAATGCCCTTACAATGCACAGACCGATCTACTGAAATACCTCATCTCCCTCATCTCCCTGGGGAAGGCCACAGGCCTCTCCAGTTCAAAGGCATCTCAAAGGGGCAAAACAAAGCGTTAGCTTGTGAATGACCTTATGTGAGACAATAACAAAAACTATATGGATTTCTACTGAAATTCTTTTGATTTGAATGATCTTATACCTTAATTATATTTCAATTTTATCTGTACCACAACAATCATAACACTACAGAAACACATTTCGTTAGTGACTGTTTTAGCTAATTTTGAGTATAATTCAAAAATACTAATACAGTATATGACTAGCAAACACAGCTTTTAACAGTTGTACACTCATACAATCGTAATATTTTTATTAAAACATGTTTGTTTTGGTAGTGACAATTCTTAATGTTACACACTGATTTCACTTCAAAACAATTGGATCTAACTGCTCACCATGTGGCACCATGGACAGATGCAGTCTCACTTCCTGCTCTAAAATAAGGCTCTGTCCATGGACTAAAACTCTTTGTGTTTCGGTAGTGACATGAAAACATGGGACAGCATTTTTGAATTTTTTTAATTTTAGTTTTTGAAAGTTAACCTCAAGCTAAACTGAAGTCTTCCCCTTAAAAGACATCAGGAAAAAAATGTTTTAACATTAATGTTATAAATGTAAGTGATGTAAGAAATTTAGGGGTTAGGGTTTGAGACAGACACCTCCCAAAAGAAAGTATCCTATAAATAATAATTTATATCTATATTTCAGCTTATTACTATCTCAGTTAATGCTTTGGGTTAAAATAGATCATAACCATTCTAAACATCTAAGATCTGAATACTTACTATGGAACCTCAGTTTAAACTAATTTGGTAAAATGGGCCCATTTATGTTCCTTTGGCCATTCGAGCATTCGTCTGCTGCATCACTGTCACAGACAGAGAAAAGCTGGCATGTGCATGTGTTTGTTGTTCGTAGCCACCCCTGTAGAGCCCTGAAGCAGGGTGAAACAGAGTTCATACCTGGGTTCATGCATGCAGACACAGCAGGGAATACCCGAGCCCTGTGGCTGCCTGTGGGGAAAAAAAGGAGTACGAGAAGCTTGTCATGTTACCATCCTGTTGAATTCACCGGTGGTTCAGCTTCCACCACGCAAAACACTGCAGCAGTTTATTATCAGCAAGCTTTGTTCACTGCAAAAAATACATATTTGAGATCTGTTGCTCTTCATGTGTTGATTGAATACCTGACTGGTTTGTTTATAGGTTTCTTTTCAACTCTTTGGTGACTAGAGATGTTTTGAAAGGGTGATCTGTTTTATAGAGGAACAATGCATATGTTGCACAGTAAAGCTAATGGTTACACCACACAAACATTATTCTCTACAGCGCCGTGCAAACGTCAAAGACCACACTTAGTAGTTTTTTATTTGCATTTATTTGCATTCCAGTCCAAACAGTTTTTCAGTAAATTTTACTGGTGAGACTGGATATAAAATAATCCACTTGCAAAAAAAGGGGTTCAAAAAAAGGGTTTGCAAAAAAAGGAAGAAAAGGAAGCCCTTCCTTAGAAAAGAAGAAAATTTGCAAATTAAACAAAAAGCTGCTGTTGTTTTCTGAACAATGGACTGTCCACCCCAGCGCCTAGACTTCAACATCTTTGAATGTGTTTGAGATTAGTAGGATCATGAGAAGCATGGTGCTTGTGGTGCTTGCTGCTCTTCACAGCTTTTGGCAGCACTTGTGAGTTTGCCACTGAGTGTTTGCTGCTCTCAGTGGCACTGTGGTTGAGGCTTAGGCCTTTGACCACTTCTTGTGAACCTTGTTGGCACCTGGCACACTCCCATCACCCAGCACCCCAAGCACACCTGACCCGGGCAATAGAAACAGCAAGGGGAAGAAGGCAGGAAAGAAGGGAAACAGGAAAAAGGGATTCCCTCATTTCACAGTCTGAACGTATTCAAACCCCTAAATTATTTTAGGTGAAACATTGTCCCTGAGGGTCAGTAACTGTTCCAAGTGGTTGAAGTCAACGATCAATAGGCGACCCTGACAAACAAAACAAACGCAACAGACAGGAGCAATACACCAAAGGGGCCAGGACGAGAGGTGGAACCTCAAAAGGGGTTTGTGAGGTAGGCCTCCTTGCCACTGAAGCCCAAGGACAGGAAGGGCTGAGAGGGAAGGAGAGCTTCAGGCCTTCTTGAAGCGGGGACAGGAGGGCTGAAAAGGGAAGAGAGTGTAGGGGCATTACAAAAGAGACCTGGAGCTGGTTCTCCTCCAGTTGTTCCCATTATTTTTCACTCTCGAAGAGCAGGTCTCGCAGGTTTCGTTGGCACTCCAGTTACCTGAGGAAGAGGGTCTGAACAACTTCGCCCTGTGCTGTGGATTCCACGACATGCCCATGTCTTCTCCCGGGTATTGGCGTCAACGTAGCATGCTACTTTCTACCCGAGGAGGAAGAAGGATGCATGAGGGAGGGATAACATCACAACAGACATTTTCAGTTTTTGACAGTCTTCTTGATGTCGTGCATCCAACTTTTAAAGACTGGACTTCGGACTTGTGGATAAATATGCCTGCAGATTTCTTTGAAAAGCTAAAAGAAAGTCTCAGGGAAAGAATGGAAGCTCTAATACAGGCAATGGATGGATACAGTAAATGCTCAATAAATGATTTAATGTTTAGCTGTTGAGGTGCCTATGTAATGTTTTAGTTAAATATATGATTCCTGATGCTGAAAAATAATTACTTGTACTTAATGGTCGTTTTGACAGAAGATCAAAATATAAATGAGTGATGATCTCATTTCAAGGCTACAGTGCTTGATTTAAAGATTGCTACATTATTATTACTCACTGCTAGGCCTGTCACAATGATTATTTAATCGCCTGATCACAATCATTTGAACTTATCACAGTTGTTTTCCACAGTAATTGGTTTTCACAGTCATATCCTTACGTCACAACAAACAGAATGTGAATTGAGGGTGTTTTCATCAGGGTTCAGGCGAATGCATGTAAATAAATTAAAAAAGGACTTAATAGTTGTTTGCAATGAAAAAAAAAGACAATTGTAATTACTTATAAAAAGACAATAAATTGTCTGCGAAAATATGACAGGCCTGTTCACTGCAAATGTTACTGAAGGCCAGAATATAAGATCTAGTTAAGTCAGATCATGTAAAATTGAGACCTTTGAGACCAGGAAATATGAAAACTCACATTCTTGTTCCTTTTGCAGTGTTTGCCAGTTCAGAGCCTGTTCCAGGATTCCAGGGGGACACACTACAGCTAGCATTCATTGATCTTCGACAGGTATGCATCCTTATTGTCATCTCATACCACAAGGCTAGATGGGTGCAAATTTGGTCCGACAAATTAGGAGGACCACCATTGAGAGGCTATAGCTGACATACAGTGCTAGCACCTAGAGGTGACACAGTGCACCTTTTTTTTCTGATACCAATATTAAAACCTATAACATTCTAAACGTAAGCTACTATGCTCAAACTACTTGAACCCCACAGGAAGAACAACACTAACAACATTACATAACGCAATGTAAGTAGATGCTACTTCAGGCTGGATTTGTTACATGATTTTATCAGAGTCATCCTTTTTTAGTCTTAACCAGTTTTCTGCTGTTATCAGACCGATATTGATATTTATCGGTCAAGTGCCGTCTCTGCTAGCACCACACAACAGTTGTAGATTTCATACATAAAGCTAGGTAATCAAGGTGTGCAGTGTTACCATACTCTCATTGTATGTGATGGTTTATATGTCAATATTAAAACACAAAAGGAACAAGAATTACACATGATCTTGTAATGACAATGCAGTATGACTGGTTTGGTAGATGCAATGAAAAATATTATTAGTAATATTGGCTATGGTCTTCTTTCAATAACCGCCCTGATACCCCCCAGTTATCTTGCTTAATTTAAAAAAGTTTCCCCTGAATTTGCACCAATCAGGCCAGAGTCAAAAGTTAATCTAATGGACTTGCCTAAACTGGACAGGCTTTCCTTTAACCAAGGGGTGTCAAACTAAACCACTAAAAGGGCCATATTAAAAAACCTCAGCAAATCCGTGGAACAGGCCACACCGGACATCTTTTGTTTTTGTGTCACTGCTGGCCCATAGATTGTGGTTGGGGAAAGGGGGTCAGAACACACGCTATGTTGTGTGTGTGTGTGTGTGTGTGTGTGTGTGTGTGTGTGTGTATATATATATATATATATATATATATATATATATATATATATATATATAGACACAACATAGTGTGTGTTCTGACCCCCTTTCCCCAACCACAATCTATGGGCCAGCAGTGACACAAAAACAAAAGATGTCCGGTGTGTATATATGTGTGTATATAAAAGCATAAAAAGTACATGTAATCAAGAAAATTAAAATATGTGCTGTGGAAAATGTAAAAATGGATAATGTTCATCCAAGGTATAACTTCACTTAGAGTTACCAGTGATCTCCTATGCGCAGCTGATTCAGGATCTCTTAGTATACTGATGCTTCTTGATCTTAGTTCTGTTTTTGATACCATATCTTGTGATCTATTACTCTCTCATATGTACAGCTTATTAGCTCTTATCTTAGTGATAGACAGCAATATGTAGCTATTAGGGGTGTGGGAAAAAATCGATTCTTAGATGCATCGCGATGCAGACACACAGATCTACTCTGCTCTGCTTTAAGCTTTAGCTACAGCCATTTTTTTTTTCCATCTCCGCCAGAAAACTTTTCCTCAAAAGTTGAATAGTTTCTTGTAAAATGTCTCTCAGCTTTCGGCTTTCGCTTTTCGGTTTTACGAGGCTGAAGTCACTTCTTACTCGCCAGCTTCTTGCTGGACTTTCCGGTTCCACTGACTCTGACTGAGACGCCGAATGTAATTGCGGCACCATTTAAGGTGGAACGGGAAAATTAGAAAGAGAAGCGACTTCATCTTTGCAACTTTTTAGTGTTTGACAGTCTCTCATTGCAGATTTAACGCACCAGGAAACCAACTACACTGCTTATAAATGCAAATAAGTCCATTCGTCTCCAAATGTTCGTCTGTCTTTCTCTCTTCCTTTTTTGTTCGCTACTAGCCAGGCGAAACCTCGTTGCTACGTGACCTGCAGTCTTTCGCGCCCCCACCTCTATCACAAGATCAAAACCAAAGTTATAAAATCAATAAAGAATATATAACGTGCTGCTTGGACATCCATTACCGCTGGATCTTATTTCACCATAACAGTGCATTTTATCGCAGATGAGTGGCAGCAGCGTCTCCAAACAAGAGCAGTGAATGAGAGCCTTCTAGTTCACTTGCCACATCACTTCCATTTGTTTTACTAATAAAAGATATTGGACATAAATGCATTATGGATCATTACAAATACTTTGTTTTAAAACTACCAAGTCCTCAGACAGTAAGAAAATAGAAATCATGTATAGAAAAAAAAGATGCATTGAGATACATCGATAATCGTTTTATAATCGCATCGCAGCCCTCTGAATTGTAATCGAATCGTGAGGGGCCTAAAGATTCCCACCCCTAGTAGCTATTCATAATCATAAATCCTGTACTGTGTCTGTTACTAAGGATGTTCCTCAAGGCTCAGTTTTAGGTCTGCTGCTTTTTACCATATCCATGCTGCCTCTTGGTCATATAATTACACCATCATGGTTTAAATTTTCACTGTTATGCAGATCACACACAGATCTGTGTCAGCATCAGGCCTGCTCAGACTATGTGTTTGACACACTTTTAACCCATTAATGTCTATATTTATATGGTGATATGTTCAGTCCTCTTAGAACAGATGAGGATCAACATTTTTTTTTATAATTTCTTTTGGGCTTAATGAAATAACCTGCTTTATCTGACTATGTTCACAACATAAAATCGTGTACGAGTCGCAGCTTTCTAAAACTGAATGCTAGCAAAGCTAAGTTGCTTTTAATCAGCTCAGAGGCACTGATATCTAGTTCATCTGTCCTTGGCATCAATTTTGATGAGATTCTGGCAATACCTTCTCCCTATATCCGCAATCTCTGAGTTATCTTTGACCCCACACTGTCCTTCGAAATTCATTTCAATTCTGTAGTTAAGACAGCATTTTTCCATCTTCATAATATTGCTCGCCACTGGCCATCTCTCAGCCAAGTGGATGTATGTATGTAGTGCATGCATTAGTGACATCGCGGTAAGACTGCTGTAATGTTCTTATATCTGGCCTCCCTGTAAAAGCCCTCAATAGGTTACAGTGTGTACAAAATGCCGCTGCTAGGATCATCACCTGTTCTAAGAAGACTGAACATATCACCCCTATCCTTGAGTCTTCACTAGTTACCTACTACATTCTGTGTTCAGTACAAGGTTCTTCTTGCTACATATAAAGCTCTGCATGGCCTGACTCCTCATGACCTGGTTGAGCTTCTACATGTGTATGTCCCATTCTGTACTTTACAATAGCATAATTTGAGCCTTCTTCATGTTCCAAGGTTTCAGTTGACCTCTGTAGGTGGTCAGTTTAGTAGCTCCCAAAAACCAGAATACTCTTCCCAAGTCTATTTGAAATGCCGTCTCTTTCTTCATTTAAATCTCTGTTAAAGACTTACTTGTTTTGACTGTTATCATTGTTCTGTCTGTACTTGAATGTTAGGTAACCTGAAATTGCCTTTTCTTGTGTTTTTATCTGTTTAATGTGTTCATGTTCTTTGATTGTAAAGCGTCCTTGAGCTTGGGAAATATAAATATCATTAAAAGTGATGTACAACATTTCATCATTTTAGATGAATCGGAAGAATTTTGTGGCATTTTTCCTTATCATATGAAACTTAGTTATTGGACTTGAATGGGTTAAGTGGAAAATAACACACTGGAACAGAGTGACATTAAGCTTTTAGCATAATCAGTCTCCTATGTTATGTTAGCAGTTTGAACACTTATTCTAGGGCAAAAGTGCTTGTTGTCACGGGTTTGTCACAAATTTTAATCCAGTCTTAAAGTAGGATAGCAATAATCCAGCTCATTTAAAGCTCACTATTAGAACAGACTCTGACACCATTAAAGTGTTTTTAACATAAAAATGGAATAATTCGGAAGGCTTACTCTGAATCCCTCAGAAAATGACATGGCAATCATCTCCATATAGCTAAGATTGTCTGAATAATTTGGTGAAGGAGATCATTCAGCCTTGTCCTTTTACTGGCCTTTAAAAGACTGTTAGCCCAGACATCCTTGTGCATGAAGTGTTAACAGAAGTGTTCAATGTAGTTATTGATTTTGGACTCAGATCAGATAATAAAAAAGGATGCCAGGCATGCATCTTTTGCTTTGAGGCTTTGAAGATGTGTTGTCTTTGGACTTCCTAGTTATTGGCAATGAAGATGAACATGCACAGGTCAAAGTAGCAGCAGGAAACAGATTATTGTCTCCTTCCGTTTAGGCCTGCAGCTAACAGTTACACTGTATGGTCAAAAGTATGTGGTCACCTGACCATCACACATATATGAGCTTGTTGGACATCCCATTCCAAAACTATGGGCATTAATATGCCCCTTTTCACCTACAACTGCCTCTATTCTTCTGAGAAGGCTTTTCACGAGTTTTGGATTGCATATGTGAGAATGTGTGCCATTGGGGCAGTTGTGAGGTCAGGCACTGATGCTGGTCAAGAGGGCAAGGCTTGCAGTCAATGTTTTTTCCCTTTATTCCAGAGGTGTCCAGTGGGGTTGAGATCAGGACTCTTTGCAGGCCACTGGAGTTCCTCCACACCAATCTTGACAAACCATGACCTGGCTTTGTGCACAGGGGCACAGGCATACTGGAACCCAGAAACCAAACTGTTAGGGTAGCACTTACAGGTGACAGGGCAGGTCTAAGCAACTTGTGGCAAAGATGGCATTCTATGAGAGTGCCTCATTTATAGTCAGCGAGCTCTCCAGTATCTCCCATTCTACTGCCAATGTTTGTCAATGGAGATTGCTTGGCTACATGCTTGGATTTATACACCTGTTAGCAGTGGGTGTCGCTGAAACAACTGAACTCAATAATTAGGACATATTGGCCATGTTTTGTATTTCTGTAATTTATGGACCTGATTAATTAGCAAAAGGCTTGTTTTATTTTAAATGGTCATGTAGCATTAGTGTGCTATTGTGAAATGCTGTCTGTGCTTTTTTGGGGGGTTGGGGGGTAGTGGAGGTGAGCATGTGCTTCCTCCGGGTCACGTGAAGCAACACTGCTTCTTTTTTGAACCACTGTTAATGCAGGAGAATGCTAACTGAATTCTTTTACATTAGCTAAC